CTGGTGCATGTCGGATTGCGCTTTCCTTGACGTTGTGTTTTACCCATGCCTCATGTGGGTGATATGTAGCTTCTTTTCCCGTTTCATGTCTGCTCGACGTTTGTTTTTTTTTTGTTTTGTCTGCTCCCTATGGGCCCATTTTGCTCTGTAGCACAGCATGTTTTGCGTCCTTCAGACCTTTCCTTCTGAGGTTGAAGCCCAAAAGCCCAAAAGCTGCGCGTTGTTGGGAATATGGATTTGAGCGGTCAGATGTTGCGGAGCTTTAGGATCTTTAAGCACCTCGTTCCTGAGCCCAAATTTCATTGACCTGTTGACAAGCTGACCAGCTATTCGAGAACACACCTTGAAGAGCACACTTGCTTCATGTAGTGCTTTGCTGTTGTGCGTCGCTGACAAAGTACACCAGGAATTTGAGGTTCCATTCTGTGAAATACAACAGAAGTCAAATTCCTATACCATACGACTGTATTCAACTGCACTCTACTGCACTCTACGAGTTTGTACGCTTCTCCAAGCCTTCATGCCAAAAAGCCTGAAACATGGCTGTAAATGGTTTCAAGCGGTTTAGGGCTTATGAGTTAAAAAGGGTTTAGGGGCTCCGCGCAGCCAAGCGGCCAGACTTGGTAAAGCAGATGAGGGAGATGATGTTCCAATACCCGCAGCCCACAGAAGTTCTTGAGAAGATTTGACACTCGCCTGCCACTAGCGGGGTACATGTTGAGGGTTCAGGTTTTCGGTCTCTGCGTTTGCATGCAGATATTGGTAGTGTGCATTTAAGTTTGCATTTCTGTTTGAAGGTTTGTGTCTCGTTCTGTTGTGGACTTAGCTCTGGAGATTCAAGTTTGGAGTGAAGTTGAAGGTTTGGGCTGTAGTCTACAACAAGTAGACCCTTACGAGCCTTTTTTGAGACCACATCAGTTGAGCAGGACAGCTTTGTCAGTAAGGAATTGGATTCCAAGCGGGAGGGGAGCCCAGGCCAAGTGCTCGAGGGCATGAAGTGGCAACACTACAAGCTTCCCAAGGCGCAAAGTTCTCGCATACTTCATAGGTCAAGTCGGCTAAAGCATGCCTCTGAACTTGATGTGGAAAGCGGTTCTATGTTGTCAGAGCTCCAAGGCAGATTTTTTCGTTTTGAGATGATTGGCAAGGAGGTGGACAGTTGTCGCATGAGTGAATGTGGCACTTGTAATGACGATCGATAGGGTCATGATGGCAACACGGGCGGTCATACTGGATGGTGCTTGCGCTATCGGATGATGGTATACAAGCACCGCAGCAAACGTAGCATGGAGATCGGGCAACTACAACTAGCTGCTTACGAACCCAAAAAGAAGTGCTTGTGCCTTTCCAGGAGCCTACTTGGACTGTTATGCAGAACTTCATCGAACCCTCTTGTCTTCCTTCAGGATGTAAGGTCTAGGATGGTAATTACCATACCATGCTGCACAATATCTTTGTCATGCTACTTTATCCTGTGTTGCTGAAGCCTCAACACAGGAAACGCAACAGGCAAGTCTGCACAAGCTTCAGTATTTGATCCCCGTAAGCCTCAACGGGATGCAGCCGAAAGCTCAGAACCGCGAAGACCCGAAGTGCTGTGACGGTCGTTATTTCATGCAAAAGTTCTCGCCAACACCCCGCTTGCACAATGCCATCGCAGGCGAAAAGTGGAGAGGGATGGTGCTTCTGGGGCCACAGCCTTTGGCCGACCTCGGGTCCACAAAACGACGGCTTCCAGTGCATCCTCTCTCAGGGTTCAGTTTCGAGTTATTGTGCTCCTGAGTCGTTTGGCATTCTGTCGAAGACGACATTATGGCCTACTATGCTCGTGATGTTCTCGCGCTGGGACGGGGCTTTAAATAGACCTTCTGAGGCATGGCATGCCGGCGCCGAGGAGGTCTCTTGCATCGTTGTCTTGTTCGTCGCTGCAACTTCGCGTTGTGCGGTTCCTGCTGTGCTACTTGTCATAGAAATTTGACACGCGAGGACTTCTACCAATTGTCCTACTGTAGTAGTGGGTTCGGGTGTATACTGCAGTGTAGCAAAGGCATGTAAAGGCGATAATATGGAATTAGTCGCAGCTTCCCGCTGAGGCCGCGCCTGCCTCAGAGCCAGCGTGCAGCAACGGGCACAAGCTCCAGCCTATTGTCTCACAGGACCGCCATTGCACCTGAACTGAAAACCACGAGCAGTAAATGTGGGCGCAGGGCATGACAGAATTCAAGCATGATCATTGGCTTGAACCAAGGCAAGCTGTGCTTAGCGCCTGGCACGACCTACATGTGCTTAGCGTGTCGCTACGACTTGTGCAATTCCTGCTACGCCAAGCCAGGGTCTCAGCCAGTGCGTGTAGGTCAGGCCTTGTGTGCATTGGACATTACACAAAGGCGCAAGGGCCCGCGCATCTGCAGGAAAGAAGCAAGCATCAAGGAAGTGGGTCAACAAGGAGCAGCAGTGGACGACGCTGTACCTCAGCCGCTTCATTGCGAACATGTTCACATCAGTGCATTGCTGACAGCTAATTGAAGCATGGCACGTGGAGCCGTGGAGCTTGCTGCCAGCTGATGGGCCTTATTTGAACTTCAACAATCGTGTGACCTTTCGAAGGCGCTTGCACCACGAATCAGTGGGTTGCCAATTGAACATGTGGGCATGGTAGAGCTACGCAAAGTGTGTGTGCTGATGTAGCGCAGATCACATTTGAAGATGCCTACGCACGAGAGCAGGACGTGACAAGGGAGGCTCCTCGCTGCTGCGTCATGTAGACCAAACATTTTCGCACCAGCAGTGCTTGCTTGGTGGGCTGACTGACCAGCATCTAGGGTTCATGACATTTTCCGGCTGGAGAAGAATGGCCAGCCATGTATGTGCATATGAGTTCGAGGCGACAAGACAGCTGATTCAGGCCTACGCGGACCATTCGCCATGAATGCCAGACGGACAGCAGACAAGCACTGAACGACAATTTCCAACGGTCTGACTATAGGTCGGTGTGGGTGAGAGCTTTTCTTCGTACCATCTGCCTGGGACATGCTTGGCGGCGTTGGTCTTGCACTTGTGTACTTTTGACCTTGCTGATTTTTACTTCATGTAAGAAGGCGAACTCCGCGGACTAAGGCCACACCTGCCTCCAGGCCGAAATGCAACAAAGGCCACAATCTTTTGGAGATTTTGAAGGAATTTCGCCAGTGCGACTTGTCAGGCAGCTACTACATGTGAGCCTTGAGCTTTCACCAGTCCGCTAGGGCATGCCTGCCTCGCCCCAAGGCGACGTCTGTCGCAAAATTGGCACGGCCTACCAGTGTCCCCCATGTCAATTCGACATGTGCACGACCTGCTACAGCAAGCCGGAGTCTCAGCCAACGCGTACAGGAATCGTACAGGTCACACGAGGTGCAGTGGACCTCACAGAGGCTTTGCTTGCATGCAGGCGACGGGAAAGCGGGGACGACGCGTGCAATCAGAAACCAAGCAAAGGCGTCGCTGTGCTTCAGTTGGTTTGGCTTGCACAAGTGCATGTCAGCGTAAGTTATTGGGCATCTGCATAGTCGCTGCTGATGAGGATCCATCTTGCGATGTCCTTGGGGCAGGGGCGGAGGGGTGCGCTGATAGATGGCACACATAATTCTGGACTCAAATACCTTGCCCTTCAGCCACGTCCATGGTTCGTATCCGATACGTTCGTCTATGCCCTATGTGCATCGAGACTACGGTAAACATGAGCGAAGTGGTAAACCAACTGGGAGGATCGAATTTTCCGTGGCGACCACAAATATTGCCAGAAAGTCTTGAGCTGTTTTTTCTAAACTGGTTCACATGCCTTCGAAGTCGCCTCTGATGCACATCTGCCTGGCCTAGCGCCTGCCCTGCGATTCCGCACTGAATTTGTCTGCTGTTGTTCCTGTTGATTTTTGAACGTGAAACGACAAACCCCGTCGACTCAGGCCACACCTACCTCCAGTCCCAAATGCAACAGTGGCCACGAACTTGAGCCAGCTGTAAAAGAGTTCGCCGCGACGTGCCACTGAGCTGCAGCTTCTTTGAGAATTAGACATTTTGATTTACAGATCCACTAGGGTCAGTAGGGCATGCCACTCTGAGGTGACATCTGTCGGAAACTTGGCACGGCCTACCGGTGTCCCCCATGTAACTTCGACATGTGCACTACCTGCTACAGCAAGCCGGAGTCTCAGCCACCACTCACACTAGGTGCAGTGGACCTCACAGAGGCTTTGCTTGCATGCAGGCGACAGGCAAGCATGGAGGACGCGGGCCAACCGGAAGCCAACACCCCTCACGACGACTGTGTACCTCAGCCAGCGTATTGTGCCTGCTTGCACATCAGTACAATTGATCGAGGAATGAAGCTTGTGATAGGGCTGTAGGGTTTCTTGCATGAGGTGACTACAAGTGATTGCGCAGCTACTTTCCTGAGGGCTTTTGGCCATGCAGACTTACTGTAAACGGCTACTTCACTTGCAGTAGTGCACGAAAACGGCTTAATTTGTGTTGTGGTGTGGTTTGCTTTCATGTTGTTGGCAGCTTGGGGTTCCCCCGGACACCTTTTTTTGTTGGAAAGTATTCATATGCATTCAGGCAAGCTTGCCCGGCGAGAAGACCCCTACACCCCCCACCCTCCCCCCCCCCCCCTTCCGCACGCACTTGCATCCCCAACAAATAGTCCCCCGCCTGAGTTGGCGGTCATGGCAAGGTTTCCTGAACCTTCGGTGGGTCTCCGTGCATCTCACCCTTTGTGTCCCTTCATGGCCGGCTCGAAAAACATGATCTCCTTTTGTTTTCGGATTCCTGGACATGGTCTTTACTTTCTTGTCTGCCCAGCTGTCCTCCCTTAATGTAGGTGGCTTTGCCAGGGGCTCATAAACCAGAACAAGAACTCTGCTGAACCCTGACATGCCAGAGAATCCTGGGCGAAGCTATGCTGAACATGCCTCAAGTTTATGTACTGGGCGCCGTGGCCAGGTGATGCGTATACAGAAGCCACACTTCGAATTCAAGTCAAGCAGTGACCTGGACGCAAGGATGGCCAAACCTTGTTTAGATGTGTTTGATGTAGGACATGAAGTGTCCTAAACGGCCTGTGACGACATGCGGCTCTATCACGAAGAGCTGCGCAGGCGAATGTGCAATTCTCCCTACTCTTCTTATAGCTGCTTCTATGAAAGTTACGGATCCCCCTAGCATCATGTTTGATTTCATTATTGTGAGTACTTGGTATTCATTCCTTCCCTGCCAACCAGCAGCTGTCGATAGCAATGCCGCACTGACGAAGCATAGTCTTCTGCAAGAGAGTACCATGGCATAGTCATTGTTGGGCAACATAGTTATACAGATGTGCACGTGCACTAGCGTCAAGAATCTGGCGGCATGATATCCTCGGGCCTCACCTCGGCACTGAGTTCCAAAGCCACATACCCCCACACTCCGCAATTGGCTTCGCGTTGTTCCGCCGTAGGCATGGTGACTGTGGCATCTGCCTAAACCCTGAAATCGTTGTGTGTGGATTGAAGCGTCAGGCGTTGTTGGCATCATGTCCACGGCTTGGCAACTACAGGCAACGGATTTGAATAGCTATGTTCAGTGCAAGTGTACAAAATTACGAGAGTCGCCAGAGATACATTAGTCGGACAGTCTGTCTTTGCCGAGGTTTCCGCGCGGCCTTGCGTTTGACTCGCGCGGAAGGTGGCTACCAGAATCACGTAGTCCACTACATGTAGGGTTTTCGGGTCCCGAGTCTAGGGGCTCCACTACTACTACTACTACTACTACTACTACTACTACTACTACTACTACTACTACTACTACTACTACTACTACTACTACTACTACTTACTACTACTACTACTACTACTACTACTACTACCTACTACTACTACTATACTACTACTACTACTACTACTACTACTATACTACTACTACTACTACTACTACTACTACTACTACTACTACTACTACGCTACTGCTACTGCTACTGCTACTGCTACTGCTACTACTACTACTACTACTACTACTACTACTACTACTACTACTACTACTACTACTACTACTACGATTACCACTACTACTACTAACTACTACTCCTCCTCCTCCTCCTCCTCCTCCTCCTCCTCCTCCTCCTCCTCCTCCTCCTCCTCCTCCTCCTCCTCCTCCTCCTCCTCCTCCTCCTCCTCCTCCTCCTCCTCCTCCTGCTGCTGCTGCTGCTGCTGCTGCTGCTGCTGCGTACTGCTACCACTACCGCCACCGGTACCGCTACATTGCTACCGCCACCCCCATTTGTTTTTCGGTTTTGCTCTCAGACATAAAGGCTTATTTCTGGAGTTAGGAGTGGTGGAGTTTCGGACCCAGAGGTTGTGGGACTTGAAGTTTTTAAGCTTCGGAGTGTAGGGTGGCCGACCCTGGCAAGGCTGTGGGTTTCGCACTTCTTTGGTGAGCTTGAGGCGCGACGGGTTGAGGCTTGGAAAATGGCAGAACATGTTTCGAATTCTAGGGTCCGAAAATAGAAGAAAGATGGTCTGAATTTGGAGCTGTCGAGTTGGTGATGAGGTATGGAGGGCTGAGTTTATCTTAGGTTTAGGGTGTAAGGTTGGGTTCTTTCGAAGTCCTTCTTGTCGAGTACTATTTCGTTCCGTCTGAGAGGATTTCTCGTTGTTTGTGTTCAATCTTTGTGTCGGGTTGGTGGGTAGTTTGTTCGGATGCCTACAAGTGTGGCCTTGCTAAAGTGTCCAGGATCATGCTGTAACCGCTGCTAGTTTTCATTGCTGACATCCAGCAGCTAGAAAGAAGATTGCGTGTTTCAGGGTTTTGGGGTTGGTCCAAGCCTAAACACTTAAAACGATCTAAAAGTTGCAGGACAGCCCCACACGACAACTACAACAGCCCACACGACATCTAAGAGACACCCCCTTAAACCCTAAACCCTCAACCCTCAACCCTAAACCTTAAACCCTAAACCCTAAACGTGGGGAGTGAGTGGGGAGTGAGTGGGGGGGAGTGGGGGAGAGTGGGGGAGAGTGGGGGAGAGTGGGGGGGAGTGGGGGAGTGGGGGGGGAGTGGGGAAGGGGGTGTGGAGGGGCGGCGTGGGTCCTCCCCCACTAGAATTAGGGTTTAGGGTTTAGGGCCTCGAACTTAGGGTTTAAGTTAGGGTTTTGGGTTTTGCTAGGGTTTTGGGCCTAGGGTTTTGGGCTTAGGGCTTTGGACCTAGGGTTTTGGGCCTAGGGTTTTGGGCCTGGGTTTCGGGCCTAGCGTTTTGGGCCTAGGGTTTTGGGCCTCGGGTTTGGGCCTAGGGTTTTGGGCCTAGGGTTTTGGGCGGTTTAGGGTTTAGGGTTTAGGGTTTAGGGTTTAGGGTTTAGGGTTTAGGGTTTAGGGTTTAAGAGCTCCTGGTCGAGCAGTTTCTCGTTTAGGCTCTGTGTTTAGGACATCGAAAAATACCCACCCACCCGAAGTTCCCATAACATTAAGAAATAAAAAGTTTCTTCTTTTTATTAGGATGGATCAATAACAAAATGAATGCCTTCCAATTAACAAACGAGGAGGTGGAGATACTAAACCACGCGAGGCTTTGAGGTCTTGAAACCCTAAACTGAGGCCCTGAAACCCTTAACACTAGGCCTTCAGGCTTTGAAACCCTCAACACTAGGCCTTGAACCCTCTAGGTTTGAAAGCGCTTATTTTTGTGCTTTTGGTAGGTTTTTTGGGGTTTTTGGGCCACTCCCCGCCCCCACTCCCCCACTCCCCCACTCCCCCACTCCCCCACTCCCCCACTCCCCCCCTCCCCCACTCCCCCACTCCCCCACTCCCCCACTCCCCCACTCCCCCACTCCCCCACTCCCCCACTCCCCCACTCCCCCACTCCCCCACTCCCCCACTCCCCCACTCCCCCACTCCCCCACTCCCCCACTCCCCCACTCCCCCACTCCCCCACTCCCTTCCCCCGCTCCTCCACTCCGAAGAACTTCAATGTCCCAGAACATCATTGATTCGATCTTAGTAGCACTCTCTCTTTTTGTGATGCTGGAGCGAGGGATCTCATCTTGGGTTCAGCGTTTAGGGTTCTTTAGGCTCGAAGGCATCCAAGTCATTTGTAGGTGTTTGAGAACACCTCATTTGAATTTGGCGGTGCCGGACTTTGAACTAGCCAAGATCAAGAAACACAGCCCTGAAACTCTTGAAGTCCTCCTAAACCCTAAACCCCAAAACTCTTAAAAAGGGGTCGGAGAATGGGCATGGTGACATGGGCACGCCATTAAGGTGTAAGCCCATCACGGCAAGGGAAGCGAAACAATGCTTTACCCACCCAGGTAGCGCTGTCGAGAAGCCTTAAAAGCACTCCACTGTACCCACAACATACCAGTGTGCAGTGTCCTATGCGACAGTCTACTTTTAGTTCAGTATAGTGTGTGATTGGATGCTCTCGCCACTTTTTCTTAGTGCTGCAGGTGTGGGATGCTGACTATGCCACGAAGCTCCGTGAGGAGCCATTTGAGGTTTTTGACGTTATGCTATATAATAGAACAGTCTTTGAAGCTGCCCATCCACTAGCGCGGATAGTACATGTCAACATCATGCTTTGAGGGTTTGCTGGGGGCTTTGGGAAGCTGTTAGCACATGCTACGCTCGCCACTTTGGTTAGTAAGCAGCATGATTGATGCGTAAGTACGTTTTCCTTGCATATGATGTGGTTCCGTGTCTCATGTCGATAGTGGCCCCCTGACCGGTATGGTCCCCCCGCGTCCCCCCCTTCCACCCCAGACATCGAAATCGACGACCCTCACACGAAACGCGTGTCTACGCCATCATTCCAGTATACACGTCACTGCTCAAACAGTGACAGACCACAGATCCTGCACAGACCGAAGCAAAGCCGACGATCGCGACGACCGCGACCAGAACGACCACCAGGGGAAAACACGCATGTGGACCGTGTCGCCGGCACGTGCTCGGCACATGTCACCGATCCAGCCAAATCCAGCCCAACCCCTCTTACCCGGTCTTGCTCTGGACATTGGAAACCCCTTTTGTGGTTGACGCGTTCTCCATAACTTTGACTTGAGTGCTCTGTAGCTTTCTACAGTGTATTGGATTCTATTGTAGTACAACAATTGAGTGCAGGAGACTCTTCCGAGCCTTGCCCCTGCGCAGATGTGTTTCACACCAGGCACGTGCGGTTCGGACTTCGCCAGTGTGAGGGCTTTACTCAGTGGCGTATGGTACTAGACAGTTAGGATTGTGCTGCCCGCGCGAAGGCCCCCAGCCACCCTTACTGCAGTTTTCTGGACTGTACTCTCTTGTAAGTAATGGAGCATATAGTAGAGAATAGGTACAGGTTTGCATAGCTTGCATGGTCTAGTGTATATCTCCTGCGATGCACGTATGCTGGTAGGATTCATTGCAGGATATGTGTGTAGGTTGCAGAGGACACTTGATTGGCCGAGAAATGAACATAACTTCCAGTGTCAGTTTTTTTCAGCAAAAGCATATTTTCCGGCCAACAAACTCCAAAATTCCACTGAGCAAATGCCAGTATGAGGATGAAACAGAGGAAGCCGCTGAATGTGGAAGTAGTAGTAGTAGCAGTAGTAGTAGTAGTAGTAGTAGTAGTTGTTGTTGTTGTTGTTGTAATAGTAGTAGTGGTAGTAGTAGTAGTAGTAGTAGTAGTAGTAGTAGCAGTAGTAGTAGTAGTAGTAATAGTTGTAGTTGTAGTTGTAGTTGTAGTTGTAGTTGTAGTTGTAATTGTAGTAGTCGTCGTCGTCGTCGTAGTAGCAGGAGTAGTAGTAGTAGTAGTAGTAGTAGTAGTAGTAGTAGTAGTAGTAGTAGTAGTAGTGGTAGTGGTAGTGGTAGTGGTAGTGGTAGTCGTCGTCGTCGTCGTCATAGTAGTAGTAGTAGTAGTAGAAGAAGTAGTAGAAGTAGTAGTAGTAGTAATAGTAGTAGTACTAGTAGTAGTAGTGGTAGTAGTAGTAGTAGTCGTCGTAGTAGTCGTAGTAGTAAGCATAGCAGTAGCCGTAGCAGTAGCAGTAGTAGAAGCAGAAGTAGTAGTAGTAGTAGTAGTAGTAGTAGTAGTAGTAGTAGTAGTAGTAGTAGTAGTGGTAGTGGTAGTAGTAGTAGGAGTGGTAGTAGTAGTAGTCGTAGTAGTAGTAGTAATAGTAGTAGTAGTAGTAGTAGTCGTAGTCGTAGTAGGAATAGTAGTAGTAGTTGTTGTTGTAGTAGTCGTAGTAGTGGTAGTAGTTGTTGTTGTTGTTGTAGTAGTCGTAGTAGTCGTAGTAGTGGTAGTAGTAGTAGTAGTGGTAGTAGTAGTAGTAGTAGTAGTAGTAGTGGTAGTGGTAGTGGTAGTGGTAGTAGTAGTAGTACTAGTACTAGTACTAGTACTAGTACTAGTACTAGTACTAGTAGCAGTAGCAGTAGTAGTAATAGTAGTAGTAGTAGTAGTAGTAGTAGTAGGAGTAGTTGTTGTTGTTGTCGTCATATTATTGAATTTCTTTTCAGAAATTAGTAGGAGGAGTGGTAGTGGTGGTAGTAGTAGTAGTCGTCGTCGTCGTCGTCATGGTAGTCGTCGTGGTAGTCGTCGTAGTCATCGTCGTAGTCGTCGTCGTAGTCGTCGTCATAGTAGTAGTAGTAGTAGTAGTAGTAGTAGTAGTAGTAGTAGTAGTAGTAGTAGTAGTAGTAGTAGTAGGTGTAGTCGTCGTAGTAGTAGTAGTAGTAGTAGTAGTAGTAGTAGTAGTCGTAGTAGTAGGTGGGTTGCCCGCGCTCCTTGTCTGGAGGTGCGCAGGCACCATGTTTCTGGTGTCGCGACGTCCGCCAACACGGTTCTGTAACGCCCGCACCCCAAACCTGAAAGTTGAAACCCTAAGCGAATTAAGCCGTAAGCCCTGAACTGTCAAACCTGCAACCGGAAAACCGGACAGCGTTGGGGCCTGCTTTTTGGGGGATTGGGTTGAGGGTTGATGCTGTGCTTCGCAAACGATTCTGGCTATTGTCTGAACCCTCCTGCTGACGCCCTAAACCCCAAAGCCTAAACCGTAGTAACCCTACAACTTCAAATTCATGTTGCAAAGGACTCGTCTCATGGCCTGTTTGCTACTCATACATTCGTGTGCTTCGAGTCTTGCGCGTGCGCAGGGCCAGGGTCTGCAAAGATGGACGCGGCCCTGGCGTCCAGCAAGCGGGGCGCAGCCGCTTGCCATCTGATTCCAAAACCAGAAAACAGCCTCCTCAGCGAGTTGCCCAGTGGCTGCGTCCCGCTTGCTGGACGCTAGTACCGTGTCCGTCTCTGCCGACCCTGGCCCTGCGCCCGCGCAAGACTCGAATCACACGAATGTATGAGTAGCAAAGAGGCCGTAAGACGAGTCCTTTGCAATATGAATTGAAATTCATACTAATAAGAAGTTGTCGGGTTTACGGTTTAGGCTTTGGGGTTTCGGGTGTCTGCAGAATGGTTCAGACCGTAAACAGAATCCTTTGCGACATGCATAAAAAACTTCTTTAGACGTGTTCGAGCTGCGTGCAGGGGAATTTCGGGCAGGTTTCTTTCTTGGCCACCTTGGCCAGCGGGTTGAAAACCTTCGGGTTGCGACTGACCCCCTGAAGCACGGGCACGCCGGAATCCCTTGTCGCCACGTGCCATCAGGAGCGAACACCACGCTCAAGAAAGCATTCTGGAATAGCGTTGCATACTGCCTGTCGTTTTTGTCCAAACCATGCTGGACGCCGTGGGTGTGGGCAAACCGCCCCTTTGGCGCGTACTAGCACTAGCAGGAGCAGCAGCAGCCGTGGTGGCAATAGCAGTAGCATGATTAGTCATCCTAGGTCCTAGATCCTAGATGATGCAAGAGTGGGCTTGAGTTGCCATACAGAGTAGACATGCAGGCGGCGAGCTTCTGATGACGTTTGCAGGTGGCCACGAGCGCGTGACCTGGCAGAAGTAGGCAAAGGTGTTTTTAGTGGAGCAAAGGCACGGCACGTTTGAATCTCGGCATGTTTGCATTAAGAATGGGTGCTGGGTTCGACAGGACTGCGATGTGATCAAGCTGGAGAACATATCACTCGTTGGATTTGTTCAAGTTAGCTGAAACATAGCTTAAGCAAGACGTGCTTCCAGCACATTTTGCCAACAAGGAGTTTCAAAAAACCAGACCGAACAAAGATGCACATTCGCTTTATGTCCCCTATGACCATGCGTCTGTATTCCTCTCTCGCTATCTAAACAGATCTGATCACAGCGCCCCATGCGCTATATGAACTGGCCGCGCTTGGCCGCAGAAGAAGATGTTTCAGGAACGAGAGCATTTGATATTTCCAGCCCAGTTGCCTCAATACGAGCTGGAAGCCTAGACTTCAGACTCTTCATCGTTAACCGACATTGACTAAGGTGCAGATGGTGGATCCCACCGATTTCGCAGAGCTTGACTGGTTTGCGAAACAGGTCAAAAGCCCCCCTGCATGTTGGTTCAGAATGCCAGGTTTGCAAACGTTTCGCAGTCCCCCCCAAGCTGCTGGCACGAATGCTTGCGTCAAAGAGTCTCCACGCTCCAAACAAACGGAAGTCCGCACAGTCGAATCGTTTGCGCCTTTGTCCGTGGCCTTTGAATTATGGAGCAATCCAGTGGGCTGCAAGTCAGTTTGGCACAACCGTCAAACATCGCCCGAGATCACATGTAAGATGAGGACCCGGTCAGGGGCAGTTCACAGACTGCACAGCCTCGCGGCTGGTCATGGGTCCATTGTTGACAGCATGGTTCGGAGCAACACAACCATAAAGGAGCACGGCAATGACATTATGACAGTATTTGGAGCTGTACATGGCATGCTACTGTGGATCCGTCGAAACAGACAACACGTTCTGCATCAAGACAAAAGCTACGGTAGCGAAGGCGGCAGCAGCAACATCAACAACAAGACAGCCAATAAGAGTTGCGACAGCGACCGCAACCGCAAGCACCACCAGAACCGCCACCGAGGCCGCCAGCAGCAACTGCAGCACAAAGTCACAACGTATATGTCTTCAGAGGTGCCACGTATGCGGCCAGGAGCAACATAAAGAGGAGTCTTTGTGCATGCGCGTGCTCATGTGTAGTGGAGACGATTGGGCCTGGACAAGCTCATCCGGGATCTTAGAACAGGCATGTGTGCGATTGCTCAAAGTTTTGACCGCGTGTATGTACACACTGTACAGTGGCTCTTTAATATGATATTGCGGTGATTAGCAGGCTGTAACTCAGCATTACAGGGATGTAGGAGCACGTCCATATGATGAGACACTGAAGCAAAAGAGTTGCGGTCCTGCAGTCTGAAGTCCTGCAACAATGTGGAATCAAAACTACGTGTCAAGAGCCAGAAGGGCAACCGTGAAAAAGCAAACCTGAAAACGAAGGGCATGACGCTGTCTCAAAGTCGCCGGCAAGCTGTGACATTTCAGTTAAAGCGATCCTGCAGTTTCGCAGCCGAACCGGCAGTACAGTAGGTATCCGTCACTTCTTCCATCTCATAGCTTCGGTCGAAAATGTCAAACTATCATCGAACCATGGACTGTGCAGTTCTGTGCTTGACTGTCAATGTGACAAACATGGCAGCTTCAAAGAGCAATCCTGCAATCCTGCCCTCGCCTCCGCAACTGTTGAAAGAAGTCCACGCAGGTGCCGGGCATAGTTGGAGTAGCTGTCTTCGGCCACCAGGCCGCGCGATGCTGTGCACCGCAACCCAAAAGAGCCCAATACGTATGATTAGTTTAAGAGGTTGGCAAGATTCAGCTCAAAGGCAAAGACCCTCGTAAGCCCAAGGCAACCCTCAGGGTTGAAAGTACCCCCTCTCAAGGACGCTGGGTAGCCGCGAAGAATTTTTGTTTGCAAAAACGGCTTCAGGGTAAGCCAGCAACTGCGAAGCCTTGTCCAAAATATATACATATATATATATAGATATATGTACATACCCATTTACAAAGATAGATATACATATATATATATATATTGTATTGGAGCGTATAGGAGCATTATAGCATCGTGCAGTATATAGTAGGCAATAGACGAAAGCACATGACCTTCCGTGAAGCTCAGGCATATGTGACCAGACCGGGATTTTCTGGGCTATTGTCTGCGCTGCTGGGCGCAAAACTTCCACGGTTGAGGGTTTAGGGGGTTCTGTTATGCGTTAAGAGTTGAAGCACAAGGTGCCATGTCGATCCTCTAACACTTTCCACATGGGCCCTTCGCTCATCTGGGAGATGCTTAAAAGCAAGACTCGCCAAGAGCTGGACTTGGCAGGCTTCCGGAAGTTGGAGCCAATACTAGAGGTGCGTAAATCCCAACGCAGGCTTTGGGAAGGGGCACCTTCTGCATGTACAGAGGTTCCGCTTTGTGCTGTCAGCATGAAGCACGGCGAGTTTGTGCCTGAACCTTGTGCTATGGGAGTTTCGCCGCGGGCCCTGTAGCATAAAGAGCTGCCGTCTCCAAATGCCTGCAACGTCCTACCGACAATCGATCCTCAAGACACCTGAACCCCAAGTACGGATTCCAGACTGTCTTGAAGGTTCGGCTTGGCGCAGTTCGATGAAGAGGAGCTGCTTGACATAGGCCTGCCAAGAGTGGGATCGGGTTTGTGCTCGGACTCTTGGACCCAAGAGTCTTCAGACTCCCCAAGTCGCAGAATAGTGTTTCTCGACTTGAAAATGCTGCCTCTCTTTCGTCAGAAGTCTGTAAATCCTGAAGCCTAATGCCAAGGTCGAAAGACACGCGACGGCGATCAGCAGCCCTCTGGCCTTGCGGTGCTCGAGGACATTTGGGGTTTAGGGCTCGGGGTTCAGGGTTTGTAGATTGCCGGTTTAGGTTACGTGTTGAAGGTTGATGGTTTTAGGGTTTGGAGCAGTGGAGTTCGGGCTTCGTAGGTGAGAGCTTGCATGGTGCTGGAGTTCTTCTGAGCTTTCAGGGCGAGGCTTTTGTGTCAAGGTTGCCCTGCGGCGTGTGTGGCTGATTCAAGTTGATACAGATACAGGTCGCGGAACAGACAATATGGACCCGGCAAAGATGAATGTATCTTGCCCAGGAGATTCTTGGCAGAGCTCCCTGAACCCTTCGAACCCAAAAGCATGAACCCCAAGCCTAATGTGACCCTCGAAGCGAGCGTCTCAGAATCCTCAGAACCGGCACCCGCAACGCCCAAAAAAAGCCTAAATCTTGAAACCCCCTTCTAAAACTGCAGGGCGCTCTGATGCAAGCTCCTCTCCGTTCCCTCGGATTGGTGTCTGGGCGTGACTCCGAATTCGGCTTGTGGTCTAGAGTTTTAGGTTGTGGGTTTAGGGGCATTCGGTCGCTAACATCACGAGGTGGGCAGGCCGAGAAATGTCTCTGAATGAGAGAGAGAGAGAGAGAGAGAAATGTCTCTGAATGAGAGAGAGAGAGAGAGGGCAGATCCTTGTAGACCAAGGACGGAGTGCAAGTCTCTTTTTGTCGCAAATACATGCTTGAGAGCTTCGTTGGTTGTCGAATCCAAGAATATTCAGGTCTCATGTGCTTCGAGAGATGTCAGGTTGTGGGGATTTGTCTTTGCTGTGAGCCGCAGGTTTTTCTCAAGTTCTTGAAATAACCAGGGCCAGCGTTCTGAAAACTACTGGCCAACCATTGTTCTCTACCAAGTCCCGGATCAAACACAACTCCGAAAGCTCTGGAACCCAAAACTCCAGGCCCTTCCCTACTTGTGTGACCCAACAGTCTGAATGCAACATGTAATCCTCGACCCCTCGGCTCCTATGGCATGCGCTCGAGCGATAAGCTTGATTCAGAAACGTTTACAGCAACGTTGGTGGCTAGTTGGCAGAGTAGTCTTAGTATACAGAGCGGATAGAACATAGAAGTGCTGCATTGCATAGCCACCACGGGCTACTGCTACTGCTACTGCTACTCCTACTACTACTACACCTACTACTACTCCTCCTCCTACTCCTACTCCTACTACTACTACTACTTCTACTGCTGCTACTACTACTACTACTACTACTGCTACTACTACTCCTACTCCTACCGCTACTACTATTACTACTCTACTACTTCTACTACTACTTACTACTCACTACTTTTACTGGTACTACTACTACTGGTACTACTACTACTACTACTACTACTACTACTACTACTACTACTACTACTACTACGACGACTACTACTACTACTACTACTACTACTACTACTACTACTACTACTACTACTACTACGACTACGACTACTACTACTACTACTACTACTACCACTACTACCACTACTACTACTACTACTACTACTACTACTACTACTACTACTACTACTACTACTACTATTATTACTATTATGAAACGCTGAGCGAGCGAGCTCTGCTCATTGCGGGCGATTTGCACCGACTGAGCACCGAAAATTTGATTGGAGCATATATGTTAGGAGAGGTGAAACATGAATTCTAAGAGAAACGTGAGACTGAATGTCCGTACAGGAATGGCTTGTGAGCGAACCCGAAAACGCAGAGAGACCACACAGCTGTTGTGGACGCTAGAAAGACATTGTGGCCGGGTCAGAGTCAGTCGCATATGTACAAACCCCGTCATCCTAATGTGGTTCACTGCGCCCAGCAACCACGGACCAGTGTGCAGGTGGGTCGTACCAAACCCTAAGCTGGGAATGGCCGTCTCCCTGGGTGTCCATCTCGTGGCGTCCCACATGGATCACGCTTGCAAACTGGCAGAGGACCGTGGGTGTACAAGTCGGCGCACACAGTGCGAAAGCCCCGTGAGCTGGCAAGGAGGTCTGTGATCCTTTTCTAGATGAAAGCAGAGTGAAGTGGTATTGGTATTTGGTAAGGACATCGTGCTTTCTGGGGCGCGCAGCAAGGTCGTCTTGACGCTCAGGTGAAGAGCAGTGCTCTTTGTTCCTGTCTAGCAGTGCATGACAGTCGGAGGAAAAGCTCCTCTATGCTGGATTTGTACCAGTCAACAGGAATGTTTGATTTGTGCTGGGATGTGCAAAGAGTATCATCCAATGGCCCTTGATCATGGATGTCATTCGTTGAAGGATAGTAATGAGCCAGGTCCGCGCTAGAGAACGGCGCTTGGCCAGCACTCGTCACTCCTGTGTGCATGGATTTCCGTGTTTTCGTAATGAGCAAGCAGGTGATCTGTCCGCCTAGCTTGCTTCTTCAATGATGCTGAGCGTACCACCAAGGCTCCAGCTTTCGCGGCGGGGGACATAAGAGATCGTCCCCATTTTGGCATGGCAGTGACTGTCAGTGTATTCTGTGTGGGTGCCTAGCTGGTGTAATGCTTTGCACATTGAGCCAGAAGCGGTGATTCGTCAGTTGCAGTAGAGGGCTGCAGCATAATGTCAAGAGCCGTTGTTGCAGAGCGTAGGCCCGAGTAGGCTTGTGCTGAAGGAATCATGCCTGTATGAATGTCAGTCCGAAGAGTTGTGCTGCCACGTGTCTCAAGAACACGGCAGGCGGTCCGCCGGGGTAAACGGCAAAACGGCAATTCCGGTATCCGCGCCCCAATGGGGCCAGCCACAGACTCGGATTTTGAATAGGAAATATCAGTAGCCTGCACGGGTCTGTGCGCGGCCACTGATGTTGATAGAAACTGCTCCTCTTCTCAAGGAAGAGTCCGGCACCAAGACGCACCCCTTTAAGAGTTGTAGGCAACGTTAAGCAGGGGCCAGCTTTCGAATCAACTGTGGCATGGCTTTGGCTCGCTATTTGAACTGTCAAGAGGTTGCAGTGGCCTTGGGAGTCCTGCCAGCCTGGCGGACCTGGGCACCTTGGACCTGGGTGAGTCAACACAACTCGCTGCCCCAACAGTGGCATGCTGTGGAGGGCCATCCCTCCGGGAAGCGATGCAATCGGCACTTCGGCTGGAACCCCTCCTAAACCACTCCTAAACCGTCTTATCTGTGCTGAACTGTTGCTGGTGCGCCGCAGTGCTGGCGACCTAAACCTTTTTAAAGCACTTCTGAAGAAGCGTCCAGTGCTGAAGGGAAGGTCAGAAATTTCGGTCATCTGTCGAGTACCATTCTGACACCTGCGATGAGCGCCAGAGTGATCTATAGTGACCACTGTGCGGTGTGGGTCCTATATGAAAGACACACGAACGCATTCTCTCTCTCTCTCTCTCTCTCTCTCTCTCTCTCTCTCTCTCTCTCTCTCTCTCTCTCTCTCTCTCTCTCTCCCTCTCCTGATAACACCCCGCTGCAAGACACGGACAGTCAGCCCCTGACTGTGCCCAGTGATTGAGAGGTGATTTTTGGCAGCTCCTGTGAACCTAGCTACTGTAAAGATTACGTGTCTCTGCTGTCCCAGTAGGGAGGTGTTGGGAGGGACTTCCGACCATTCGTCAATGAGAGACTGCAAAGTCCTGCTGCTCGTGTGTTGCAGGAGCATGGTCATTCGGTCCTCCTTCAGCTGCGAAAACCCCTCCAGGATCAACTGTCGCCCATCTGCGAGTTAGCGGGAAAGCTGAAAGTGCATTAAGAAAGGCGCGCACGAACTCAGCTGCGTCCTGCTGAGTCCCATCGAATCCCCACCTTATGGTAGCAGACTGCGCATTTGAAAGGACGTGATGAGGTTTTAAAGACGTCTGGCCCGGCGCTGATGCGGTGTTAGCTAGCAAGTACGGTTGTTGCTAACGTGGCCTGAATGGCTGCGTTGACATAGCAGTAGTTTGAGGTGTTTTTGAGTTGCAACTTGTGAAGTATTCGAAATCTGCGTTGAGTCCATGCTTGGCTCCCGTCTCGTGATTGCCCCGTACCCCTCATGTCTCTCCGCTCCTGGAGCGGGCTGCCGCGAAAGCAAGGGTTGGGGAGTGGGGGAGGAAAGACCCGAGGAGGGAGAGGGAGGAGAGGCATCGACAGCAGGGAGAGTGGAGGGAGAGATCTTGTTGGTAGAGCTAGTGGGCCCTGGAGCCATCTTGAAGAAGGCTTGGAGCGGGCCTGCAGTAGTCCTGGGCGTCTGCAGAACTGCATCCCATCCTCTAGAACTATCTGAAAGACAATCACGCATTGCTCAGGGTGTTTGCGCTTGTCAGTCACGATTTTCTCAATTATGGACAGGGGCGTCCCTTGATCATTTCACTGCCATAATGCTGGCACGTCTGCATGACGCTGGCCTGCACCCTGGTCCATAGGTGACGGTGTTCCTGATGAAAGTGCGATTTGACGCTCCGAGTGCTGGGCATCGATGTGCCTCAGTATGTCAGGTCTTGAGCAGGCTCCTGAAAGTAAATGGTCCTTCAAGCCTTTCCAGAGCGCAAACACCTTTTCGCATGCTGCGCAGGTTGGGAGACCGTCTTTGGAATGCTCCGACAAGAATGACTTAGGAACATATCTGCCTATGGTTTCCGTGTGCGTCTTCACAACATGGATCCGAAGGCCCATGTCAATAGTCGTCTGAAAATTGCAATGCTCGCAGCTATGAACTTCTGCAGCAGGTGTCTGGGGAGACTGGCTGAGCAGGGCATCATATTCAGTCAGTATTGTCTGTGCATATTGCATGGCCTCAGGCAGAAGAGAGACATCCTGATTGGACAGAGGAGGCTGCGCCTCCGTGCCTCCCAAGGGCTGTGTTCCGGGATCAAGCTGCTGCATTTTCACACGCCGCTGCAGGGATTGAACCCTGGTGGCTTGGCGATCTCTGAGCATCTTGAGTGTGTCTTCGATGCCGTGCTCTGCGTAGAGGCGTTGTTGATAACCCTGTTAAATGTACCGGCTTGTTTAGAACTGCTCGTATCTTCCTTGCGTACCAGCTCCGAAGTTGCTGAGCAGTTTGCCCTGTTAGCCCTACGTCTACCAGTCCTGCCGAAACTGTGGCCCAGACCGTCGTGTACCAGATTCGCAGCTGGTTTCGGGTCCTGAGTTGCGATGGTTCTGAACGAACTTCCGAACCTGCTGAAGTTTGGCATTTCCCTCTTGCAATCTGAATGAGAGGGTCGCCTTCTCTTGGTTACCATAGGACACACACACCCCCAAATACTTGAAAGAGTGGCAGAGAGGGAAGGACTCCCGTGCTGTAGTCTTTCCAATGCGCCATACACGGTTCTTGCGACCTTGGTTGTCAAGCTTGATGTGACTGTAAAGCTTCTGTGCTTTGGACGAGGCTGTGCCTGTTAGCTTGACCATCATGTTGCACTTGTCTGGGTTCACTTTGAAGCCGTATTTGCGCACAATTCTTAAAAGTTCGGCTATGAATGAGCCTGTGTGCCTTCTCGAGGTCCTTCCAGCAGGTGATTCTATAGTGCACTGTCATGTCGTCTGCGTATCCTGTTAGACATCTCATGATGCTTTCCCAGCCTACAACCGTCGCCAATTCGCGGAAAAGCTTGCCCGTTAGCATGGAGAAAAGAGTAGGAGCTAGTGTACAGCCTTGCTGTAGACTCAACAGTACAAGACTCCTGCTGTGCCCGGACGGTGTAGCGACTATTAGCGTGGAGCGAGGCGACTATGCCCTGCAGATCTGGAGGCACTCCCGCTTCTTGGAGTGTCTCCATGAGATCCGCCTCCTGACCATGGTCCAGTGCGAAGCAGACCCCCCCCCCCCCACTAGCTCCTGCTTCTTTTGGCCGGCGTGCAGGATGTGTCGGCTGTATCTAGTCTGGCCACAAGCTTCCCTTGCATCTCTGGTATGCTGTGTGACCCTCGACAAGGCATCAGAAAGACCTCACCTTGGCTGGTAGGCAATCTGCGACAGCGAATATGCAAAATCTTTTGGCGCTGGCTTTAAATATTGCTCAGTCAAAGGGCGAAGCTTGTCCCTGCAGGCTCCTGCGATGCCTTTGTCGTCAGGCCTGATGATGCCGAGTGGTCGCAAGTTCGCTGGTTTGGTTGGGGGTTTGTTAGGCTTGGGGATAAAGCATAGGTCAGTGTCTTTCAGCTGCGCAGAAAGTATCACTGACGCATCCAGCGGGCAGTGCTCCGCTTGGCATGACAGCTCTTGGCAGTGCTGTTGGAGCACTTCGGCTGTCGCCTCTGAGCAGAGTTTCCAAGCAGCGGCCGAGGCTGAGCCTTGCGGTGCGGCTTTGTGAGGCCTGATGGATCTGATATGTTTAGCAAGCAAAGGAGCAGTGAGAGAAGGGAGACCTGTGATTTCCGCTTGCAATCTCTCATGTCTTTGAAACACGCTCCGTGCGTGATCTTTCATCAACTGCAATTCCTCCTTAGCATCCATCAGATAGCCGTCTGCATTAACAAGCTGAGCACAAGGCTGCGGTTTCCACGGGAGAAGCTTTTGAAGCATTTTGCGAGCAAGGTGCGAATTTCCTTTGCTCGTTGCCTGATCGACTTCTGTGGTGAAAGCATCAAGACATTGCTTCCTGGCCCTGGAAACCGCTTGTTTATGCCACGTGGAGAGATCCTGGACCAGTGACTCGCGATCTGCCGGAGTGATGCTTTCCTGCGCAAGGTCCTCGTTCAGAGTTTCTAGCCTCGCCCACATTCGCTGCGTGGCTCTGTGCATAGCATTCAAAGCTGGAGTTGAGGGTGCTGTCTTCCTGGGGAAGAATCTCTCTGAAGCCTGTAGCAAGACATTGTTGACCTCATCCATATCAGGCGGTATGATACTAGCAGTCTGTCAGCTACCCAAACTTTCATTTCTTGGGCTTTGGGGCGAACTGCCTCCTCTGACGCGGCCTTGCCAAAGGGTGGAGGGGGAGGTGGCGGAGGAGGAGCTGCCAATGTCTGAGCGGCCTGATCGTGGCCTGCGCAGGGCATTGACCTCCTTTCTTCCACTTTCCTAGCTGGAAGTCAAGGCCTCGTGCCTAATGCTTTTGGCGCTAGGATATAGTCCATCTGAGACTGTGCTGTGGCAGAGTGAAAGGTCAGGCCTGAGCCTGATGCCCATGTGTTGAGTGCTACCAATCCATGTCCCTGAACAGGCGCTGGAAGTAAGCATCCTCGGTAGCTCTGTGAGGTGGGGGACCCGGAGTGCAGGTGCCAACCGTCCCATGACTCGTGTTCAGGGTGGAGTTGAAGTCGCCTAGCACTATGAGAGTGTCACACATGGGCGCACTGCGAATGGCTTTGGAGAGCGCCTCCAAGCATGGTGCCCTGTCTTCGCGATTCTGTTGGGAGGTTTTAGATGTAGACCAGACATGCTGATACACTGAAATCACGTGCACTCGTGCTCCCCTCCACTGAAAAACTCCTTCAAGTACCCTGCCCTTCAAATACTCACTCCAGCGAATGGATACTTTCGCCACGTGAGGTGAAATCAGTAACATGACACCATCTGCTCTCTTATCATCATGCACAGCTCTTTGAGATGCCGACGTGCCTTCGGCTGGTTGGGGGGGTTGTGTGCTGCTCTTAGCCTTCGGCGCCCTGTCTTTGCTTTTGTGGGCCGAGGAGATGCAACGCCACCCCTCCACTTCGAACTCAGTGCTTTCCTGCCAGTGAGTCTCTTGCAGGGCCACTACGTCATATATTGTCCTGAGCCATGTGCGGATTTCAGCCCGCTGCTGTTGTCCTAGATCTCCTGCGTTCCACGTCAAAACCCTTAGAGGTTTGTGGCCTGACTGCCTCCTCTGGGTCGGGGCGCAGTGCGCCTAGCGTGGGGCGTCGACAGCGGCGACCCCTCTGTCGCTATGGGGAGTCTTGGTGACTCCATGCCGCTCTTAGCTACGTATTCTGCGTCAAGATGCCTCTCCTGTACGGAATGCTTTGCTGCGCGCGTGAAACTAAAAGGGACCCGGCAGACCAGACGGCTCAAAGATCACGGTTATCCATGGTGTGGCACAAACAAACACTTTCCCTGAGGACTGGTTAGAACCTCAAGGAAGCAGCAGTTGCGCCCAAAGCCCAGTTACCGAGATGAAAGTGCCCAGCCGTCTGGTCCGTGGCGGCTATTACTACTGCTACTACTTCTGCTACTACTACTACTACTACTACTACTACTACTACTACTACTACTACTACTACTACTACTACTACTACTAGTACTACTACTACTACTACTACTACTACTACTACTACTACTACTACTACTACTACTACTACTACTACAACTACAACTACTACAACAACAACAACAACCACAACAACAACAACAACAACAACAACAACAACAACAACTACTACTACTACTACTACTACTACTACTACTACTACTACTACTACTTCTTCTACTGCTACTACTAGTACTACTACTACTAGTACTACTACTACTGCTACTACTACTACTACTACTACTACTACTACTACTACTACTACTACTACTGCTGCTACTACTACTACTACTAGTAGCACTACTACTACTACTACTACTACTACTACTACTACTACTACTACTACTACTACTACTACTACTACTACTACTACTACTGCTACTGCTACTGCTACTGCTACTGCTACTGCTACTACTACTACTACTACTACTACTACTACTACTACTACTACTACTACTACTACTACTACTACTAACTAGTACTAGCTAGTACTACTCCTTCGACTACTGCTGCTACCACTCCTCCTCCTCCTCCCCTCCTCCTCCTTACTACGATTACAACGGTTACTATGATAATTGCAATTGCTACCATGACTACGATGACCATCATTTGTTGCAATATCTATTGCAAAGCGAAGCAACGCAAAGCCGGCTTGGCACACGAGTTACACTCGAAGCCTACGCAGCAGGATCAGCTCCTGGTAATTGCCGACCGTAAACGAGCAGCTTGGCAGCCAAAGATCCAAGAACCTGTCGGCTGGCATCGCATACTTCAGGGTTTAGGGTACTCCACGCATAAGTATACGGCCACTATACTGCGTTGAGGTCGAATACACTGCGGTACACGGTCTACTAGTTATGGGCGCGCAGCTGGTGTACAAAAGCAACCAAACGCGATTCGAACATCGCTGCGGGATTTTCGGAAGGGGTGCAGCCCTCACGAAAGTGTGTGCAAGCCAACCTGTTGTGAGGTCACAGCCGGAGAAATGATAGTGTATCGGAGAGGAACTATTGACGCCAGGGGTCACTGGTCAGCATCAGGTGCGAAAATCGTGCCAAATGTCGAGATTTTTGTCACGCAGACACACGTTTCATGCGACAGGGTCGTCAATTTTGGAGTCCGGAGTCTACTGTATCGTACAATAATTTTAGAGCCATATAGTTACGCACCCTTTCCAGTTTCGGTTTCAGGGCCTCTACAACTCGGGAAACTGTTGCATGGCTGTTGAGCAGTACAGTACAGTATAGTAAACTGCAGTATAGTCTATTCTGTCTTCGTGCATGAAATTCTACGGAATAAACTACTATACTGAGGATCAGCTGGCTGATGTTGTTTTGAGCTTTTGTAAGAGATTTTTGCATTAGCTTCCACATATCATTATCGGCTTGCGAACATGATCATGAACCCCCTCCTGCTGCCTTACGCGGTCACCTGGTTGTACTAATTATGACGTATACTATAACCAGAATACTCGGCTCGGAACAAATATCCATCGCCGCTCTCAGTGCTACACGAAGCCAGACGTGCACCAAGCCCTGCCAAACCGTTCAGTATTGGCCAAAAGGAAAGACCGAGTGAGGGGTTTCCTAGAGCCGAGAGTGTTTGGGAATGTAGAAAAACCCCAACTGAAGACTAAACCCTAAATTAGTGTTTATATCGCACATCCCTGTTTGAGGTTGGGCACTCCAGGTAGACCGGAGAACAGCTGAGTTGAAAGTCTAGCAACCCCACACCGAGGGGTGGGGAACAACAATAAAGTGTAGCACAGTATAGCGCAGCTCTGATTTTTGTAACAGTATAGAATAGATTAGTACAGCTACAGAATTTCAGTGAACAGGAGCATGCTGTGGTATGAAAAGGCAGTCTTGTCTGCATGCATTACGTGATCAAAGTTGATCTGAGTGTTTCTGCGCCAGAAGATTTTTTCCGCGCCCGGGTTTAATGGTTCTCACAACAACCATCGAACGACTCTGGTTAGAGCGCTGCAATTGGGTCTGCTTTGAAACCTCATTGACTCGCTTCATGACGCACCCCTGAATGCTGCTGTGAAGCCTGCGTGGGCAGAACAGGAAACCAGGCTTGCCGTAAAAAAACTCATGTTGACATCAGAGATGAGGAGGCGGTTGCGGTGCGAGACATCCCATCGTGCTCCTGCCTCTGACCCACGAGGGGTTGAATTCTTCCAGCTAAACCCACGCAGCCGTGGTGCACGTAGCTCTGCCCTGCGGGCTGGATGCTGACCGTGCTCTCGTGCTGCCAGCGGACCATCCGGCTGCGCCGGCCTTGCATCCCGCTTGCGGTGCAGCCACTGTCCAGCGATGCTCGGACTCTGTGTCTCCGGCACTTCCGGTCAGCTCGATTCTGTGTCTTCGCTCCGGAGGCCAGCGGCTCTTTGATTCCATCTGCCCGTTTGCGACGCAAAATCGGCGGTCACTTTTTCGTGCAGTGAGAGGCTGCATTAGGTTCGCCAGCGACGTCTTCTTGCTTGCTCTTCCGCTGCCGTTTTTCCTTTCCTAGCTTGGCTAGTTTCCAGGGCGCCCCTCCCTTTCCCTCGCTCTCGGTATAAGCCATGGCTTCTGGTCAAGGGTGGTCAAGGGTGGTCACCGGATCACTCGACAGCGTCGGGGCTACACGTACGGCTCCGGGACCCACCGTGCGCTCCTGCTGCGCCGGCTCCGGGGGCTTCGAAATCCAAAAAGTGTTTATGAACAGGTCTGACTTGGGCTGTTGTGTTTTTCTTGCCATTTAGCAGTAAGGATGGGGTAGGATGGTCTCGAGGGTTTAAGGTTTAATTTGGTCTAGGGCTTTGGGTTTAGGTACTTGCTGCGTCACAGATTCCGCCATTTTGCACTGATCGCTTTATCTCGGTGATTGCCCACAGGTCGCTTCGCTCAGCAACTTTTCCCAAATTGATATAAACGACCAAAACCACTAGGTCAGTAAAGCTGCATTACCTATCGTCCACAATAACGTTTGTTTTTACTTGGTTTCATGAATGGGTAGGCTTTCTGCCCAAAATTGTTCTCCGTCCTGGAGGGAGGGAAAACACGCGTGTGCGTGCAAACAAAAAAGAGGGAAAACCGTCACAGAGAGCTCGCGTCGCGACTTGATTGCATGGCAGGGAAGAGCAGGTTGGGGGTTTGGTCGTGGTGGGTTTTCGCAAACCTCGCTCTCTGACGCCCTGCGCGTTGGCGGTGGATTCCAATGTGGGGTTGTGTAATAACCCCGCGCCTCTTCGTTATGAATTGGCGGGGCCCCTGTTGGTGGGATAGAGGTTTTTCTTGGAAAAACGATGAGAAGAAAAAAACGATAAGGTTGTTGAGCCGGCTCACGGAAACTTCGCTTCCGGTACTGTGCAAAGCTTGTACTACAAATCAATGAACATCCTCGATTCCAGTACTCAGCTTGTACTGCAAATCAATTAACATCCAACCGGGTCGCGGGAACTTCGATTCCAGTACTAAGCTTGTACTACAAATCAATGAAAATCCAGCCGGGTCGCGGGAACGTCGATTCCAGCACTAAGCTTGTACTACAAATCATGTGCTACAAATCAATGAACATCCAGCCGGGTGGCGGGAACGTCGATTCCAGTACTAAGCTTGTACTACAAATCAATGAAAATCCGGATGGGCCACGGAAACGTCGATTCCAGCACTAAGCTTGTACTACAAATCAATGAAAGTCCAGCCGGGTCGCGGGAACGTCGATTCCAGTACGAAGCTTGTGCTACAAAATCAATGAAAATCCAGCCGGGTGACGGCAACGCCGATGCCAGTACTAACCTTGCACGACAAATCAAAGAAAATCCAGCGGGGGGTCGCGGAAACGTCGAATCCAGTACTAAGCTTGTACTACAAATCATTCCAGTACCAAGCTTGTACTACAAAGCAATGACAATCCAGCCGGGTCGCGGGAGCATCGATTCCAGTACTAAGCCTGTGCTACAAATCAATGAACATCCAGCCGGGTCTCGGGAACATCGATTCCAGTACTCGCTTGCGCTACAAATCAATGAACATCCAGCCGGTCGCGGGAACGTCCATTCCAGTACTAAGCTTGTACTACAAATCAATGAAATTCCAGCCGGGAACGTCGATTCCAGTACTAAGCTTGTGCTACAAAGCTTGTACTACAAATCATGAAATTCCAGCCGGGTCGCGGGAACGTCAATTCCAGTAGCGTTTTTTTGTTGGAAAGCGATGAGAAAAAAACGATAATGTGTTTTAGCGTATACGAATTTCTCACGGGGTTTTCACACAACCCCATGTGTTGCGAGAATGTGTGTTTGGTTTGCTCCCGGATGGATATCGCGCACGGTGTTTGGAATCGTTGTGTTTTGCCTTGTTTGTTTCCCATTTTCATTGTACGCGGTGAGCGGCCGTGGGTCTGTACAGGTCTGGATGGATCAGCAGGCTGGCGCCGGTCGTACACTTTGGAAACCTCGTGCGGGCATGCGCTTCTGTAACACATACCGGCCGCCAGCCTTACCCCAAATCGTTTTTTGACCAAAAGCCCGGCCCAAGAGACGAAACAGTCGGTGTGATCCTTTTTTGTGCAAATAGTTAGCTTTTGTTGTGATTTTTTGTTTTTCTGTCAAGATTTGTATTTTCTGGCTGGGAGGTGGCTCGGGAGGTGGCTCGGAGGTGGCAGCTCGGAGGTGGCGGCTCGGAGGAGGTGGCTCGGGGGTGGTTCGGAGGTGGCTCGGGGCCCCGGGGGTGATTTTTTCATTTTGGTGAGTTTTTTTTCTGCAAATCTGTTCAAGAGTACGCAAAAAGCTGCACAACGGCAGCAAAGCACGAACGTCTGCGTGCGTTGACTTTCGAAGCGCTTTGCCACCACAGCTGGTTCTGCGCCAGGATCTCGGTATCCCCTCTTGCCGGCTCTTGCCTATTCGGCTCCCGTGTTCTGCGGGTCAACCAGAATCCGGAAGATGCACGTCGGGTTTGGGCACAAGTGAGCCTTCAGACGGCGCACCGGAAGCCTTGGAGGCGCTTTCTCACCTGGCTCGACCTCCTTGAGTCAGAAGTTCGCCCCACTTAGCTCCGTTAGTTCCGCTAGAGGCTCGGCTACAGGCGTTTAAGCAAACGCTTGTGCTTCTTGAAACTCTGCCTGATGGGGCAGTTCGAGCCTTTCAAGTATCCTTTGGAAGCCGGCCCTTAACTTGCGGCACTTCGTCCGTGGTTTGATGCCTCGGCCTCCGCCCAAAGTTTCATTGCAGCCTAGGAACTGCTCGCGCAGTGCGCCATGCTTTTTCCTCTTGGATGCCATGCTACCTCCACGCACCAATCTGTGTGAAGTTGCGCTGTGACAATGCGGCCTCCAAAAGCTGCAGCATGGAAAGGTCTCTCCTTAGCCAAAGGATCTGTCGCATTCTGTCACGTTGCACCATGCTGCAGGCACGCTTTCGCTTGGAAGCCGTGATTGAGCATGTGCCGGGATTTCTGAAGGATACAGCTGATGGTCTCAGTCGAGGTCTTTCGCCCTCGGACCTCAGTCTCCCGACTCTCTCTCTGAAGTTCCTTGGAAGGAACTCCTCAACGAGGACTTTCCAGTCCTGCAACCGTCCACCCTGTCGGTTGACACCGTTTTTCCGGCTTCTTGAGAGGATATTCGGTACATCCCTGAGAGGGTCAAGCGATGCTCGAAAAGGACGCTTGGAGTTTCGTTCCGCACTCCGGGTCATTTCAGTCCATTGCGTGCACAGGCGTTTGCGTCAGCTAAGCCTTGGCTCTGGGTTCCACCTATCCCCCCGGAACGTAACGGACTGTTCCCGGTCCCGTTAAAAATCGGAAGTCGGGAGCAAGCAAGACGCCACAAATGAAAACACCACTCCAAAGCCCCTTCCAGCCAAGAACCGCGTGGTGCTTGTCGACCCCCGGGACTCACAGGTTCATGGGCATATTCCGGATCGTGAGGTGGGGGCCTCAACTGCAAAAGCCTGTAGAGCAAACCATTCGCAACATGTAGTGGCCTGAATGATTGGCTTCAGGTTCTCGGTTCAAGGCTTCGGGGTTCTCAAAGCTATAGAGCCTGCCCTGGCGGCATCCCGGCACTCATACAGCATACTGTAGTACCCATTTAAGAAGGGGTAAGTAATAGGGTAGATCATGGCTGTAGTATATGATAGTATATGATAGTATCGTCTAGTATAGTGCCGCCCAGCTCTGCAGAGCTTATAGTCCCAGAATGTGGTGTCACTGGTATGCGAGGCCAAAGCCAGGCCAATGGTGCTCAGCTCTAATCTTGGGCAAAGGTTTACTGAACCCCTGAACCACCTGAACCACCTGAACCTTTAACCTGAGCTACACTCAGGCGATGGGACAGCGCTACTTTGGCCTAGACCCATTGGCCTTGAAAGCCAAAAGTGTCCAGCATAAGTCCTGAACCCTAAGCGCCTACACCCGAAGCTCTGCGCGTGCGCCAGACATGGAAAGAAGGGGGTTCTCCCGGCGCCTTGCAGAAGCCATCTGACGTGGCTGTAGACGCCGAAGGCCATACACTGCGGGACGACATCACTTGAGGGTTACGATAGGATGTAGCTTTGCCCCCTGTTTATTTCGGTTTAGGGATTAGGGATTTGTACATGACAGAACACTGCGGATGGTGTAGGCATGCACAGGAAACAAATCGTGCAGAACAGAAGTTCTCTGAGCAAGGATTTGCTCATGGGATTGATCCTTACTTTGTGCGTGTACTAGACATCGCCCTCTAGTAGAATTCGTCAACCTAAAGCCAGATATGCAAGAGCTGCTCAAAAGGCGCTTCGACTCTCAACCCCTTTGTTTGCAAAGTTTACACAGCAAAGTTCAGCATTCCGGTAAGAAACTACTTGCTCCATGCACTGGGCTCAGTCCTGCAGGCAACATTCTTGTAATGGACATCGGAAACGAGAGGGTGGCCGTATTCCGGCAGGACTCGTGAGGGGAGGTTTAGGGCTGACGTTGAGTTGTGTTTTTTTGTTTACAAGTGCTTGGTGAAAGTATCATACCATTGGCCTTGTCAGAACCCAAATCGAGAAGTAGCTCGCACACACACCCAGGCGGTCGAACCACAAGAGGTTTAGAGAGCTGTCTAGGTAATCCGAATGGAGAAGTAGTGCGGATTGGTCTGTAGCTAGGGTAGCGCTCAAGTCAACAGCGCCGTCTGGGCCCTTCAATTGGCCAGCTCAAATCACAGCAGCTTCGTGTTTTTCTCAAAGCCTTGAGACAGGCATTCCTACACACCCACACACACACACACACCAACACATGCCAGCCAACGGTTTCACTTTTTCCTTTCGCTAGCCAATAGTGCACCAAAGCTGCGCAAGAAGGTGCCACAGTGTCGATCAAAAGCCGCTGTCCAACGAAGATCCGATTGCCTGAATGGTCTGTGGATGCACAGTTTTGTGGTCACTGTGCCTCCTGCGCAGGTGACATGGCATACTATACTACGGCATTGCACTACACATCAGCATGTTCCTTTTATCACACTAGGGCGCGATGAGAAGCTCTGGTCAGGTGTTCAGTATAACAACTTCGTTTTGCAAGAACCCTGTGCCGGCCTACGTGATGAGATTCAGTAGAACTTGGCGACTTACACTCCACGCAATCCCTTTCAAAAGGGGAAACAGGGCCAGTTTTGTGTGTTGCCGCATGACAAGTCCACGGCCGTCATGGATGTCATGTAGAAGGAAACTGCCTGCGTGTCTGGAGGATGGGACCTATGTGACCAGTATCCTCGATGGCTTCTTGAAGGCCAACTGACGGGTCTGGCTTGAAGCGTATTTCATTCCTTACCAAATACATACTCCGTATAGAATATAGAATATTGTTTTGGTTTTGTCATAATGCTTGAATCCGTCTCGGATGCGCATATAGCGTGAAGGAATTCAACGCCCATGCACCTAGTATCAATTAAACGCCTGACCCTGCACTCCCTGCCTGGTCTCAAGCGTGGAGCAGAAATCTAGTCACAGCGGGAGTGGCCAGGGCAAGAAGGCACTGACCAAAACTAGGATGCTACCACGGAGGGGGGGGGCCAGGTGGAGAGTCGACTTGCCGTGGACGGTGCAGTCAGGAAGTATGTGGCCGCTGGCCTGCAAAGATGAGGCGCTGCTGATAGAGAAGGATGCTCGCGGTGTCCTGGATCATGACCTGCAAGATCCAACACGACAAGGTCCACCTCGGCCTGGGTCGCAACAAGAGGAACACACAACCAGCAGTCCTGCACGACTTCCGGTATGCAGTCAGTCATGCACATGGCTGACAAAAGGGTCACTCTGTGGCTCATGGCGTGCCCATGTTCCCAGCTGCCACTGGGCCATCGCGCAAGGGCACTGGGGTCACTGGCAATTGCGCCCCTCTCGGGCGCTCGGAGTATATAGAATACTATAAGCGTACGCAATCATCAGGTGTCGGGTCATATACTGTATGGCGTGCTGGAGGTTGCGCTGAGGTTCTTTCTGGCATGCCGGCTTCGCGTTTTTCAACGCAAGCCAGGTTTCGCGGGCCAGGTTCCTCGAAAGCCCTCAAGCTGCAACGGCATGACTTGTGCATCCTGCTCGGAGAGTTAGTTCCTTATCTCGGTTGGAAAATATTTGCAGAAGTCGTGAAGCTGCCTCAGAGAAAACACAGACCCATGGTCCGGAAGGAAATTCACCACCACAACAAAAACAACAAACAAATACGTTACAAATCTGCAATAGACCAACCAAATTACAATTCGCGTTATCTGATATCCCGAATTACATATTGTATTGCCTGGTCGCACCTCTCCCATCAAGAGTTTTGCTCGAACCTAAACCCCAAAGCGGAGGAGTTGAAAATCATAAGAAGAGTTTTCCGTTCTCCGGAGTTTTCGTTTTTTGCGCTTTCTTCTTTCAAATCAATATTGAGTGATTCTTCAACCAGTGCTTCTGCTTTGCGTCGAGTATGCAAGAAAAAGATGTCAGGCTTCTTGTTTTGGAGAAGGCGGTGCAGGGTTTCTCAGTTATTCCAAGGATTTGTGTTTTTCATTAAGAAGACGATGAAGAATCTCCTTTTGGATTTGTTATACCTACCGGCAAGAAGAGAGGAGCTCCCTGGTTTGCTTCAACAAAAAATCGTTGTGTATTGCAGGTTCTCATGTGCGATTGAGTGTCAACAAGGAGGGATCCGGTTTGTTCAGAAGAGTTCGCTTGCTTCTGTGCAAAACAAGAGAAGCATTTCACTCTCGCATATAGTTTTTGGGCAACTAAAGAATTTAACCATTAACTTTGATGGCAAAAGCAAGCTTCTCTTCACTCGTATAACAATTGTAAGGCCCCTCGCTGTTCAGACAAGGTCAGCTCCCCTATCTTGCTGTTGAATATTTAGGTGGCCATTGCTCCTTAATGGACTTTGAGGCATGGTCGCCTGTCGTTGTTCTGAAGACTGGAACCTTCTCCTGCAGGATAATAACTATGTTGGTTCATGTGCCTAACCCCCCTCATTGCTCGAGACCGCGCAAGCCCGCGCAAGGGCACAAGGGCGATGTAGTAAGTGGTGAAGTATGGCATCTTGTGCGCGCTGTGTCCCCCGCGCCCTCGTGGACGTTGCGTGGCCACGCTCTCCTACGCTGCCTTGCGATAGATGTGCGTATCATTGAGCATATCTATGCATATGAAATCATATGAATGTAAATTTGCCTGTGCGTATGTAAAAAGCAACTGCGTGCGGCATTTTCTCGCTTTGTGGATTGCGACAGGACTACGGTGACAACCTCAACTACATGGCCTGCAACCATGTCCCTCGGCGATTTTGCAGAGTGCTCACTGAGTGCTCCTCCTTCAGAGTCTGCAGAAGTGTCCTACAGTTGAACGCAAGCCCTCAGCACCATTTGGGGCAGCGCTGAACTGGACCAGACCTTTCCTCGTGATCTGCAGCACAGTGTTAGGAGTACAGTAAGCTTGAAGTCGCAGTAGAGCAACCGAAAAGTTGCTCAATAAATTTGCTTTACCCTGAAAAACAAAGCTCCCTGTAGTCAGGATCCCCAAACGAACCCTAAAGTACAGTAGAGTATAGCACCGTACAATTGCATTTTTGAAGAGAAGAGTGCGCTATCATACAGCATAAGATACTAACTAGTGGTCGGTTGCTTCGAAGGAGACTGGTCACCTCGCCATCTCCATGGGCCATGAGCACAAGCCCTCTCCCAAGAGTTATCGGAGTTTTAACGCTGTGGGATTTCCTTTTCCTATGAAAAAGGCATGTTGTAGACCACATGCTGTGCACAACGTACTCTTCCTACCTCGACTCGATCTCAAGATCAAAACACGGTATGCCTGTGTACATATGCACACAGCAAGGGTAGATGCAGGGGCCTCCTTCCCTGCAACCCGTGGACGTGAAGTTCGAGTAGGTATTTTACGGGTTCTAATGCATACAAGCAGCAGTCGGGCTAGCATGCATACTGGATCAGAGTGGTGGCAGCACTGTTCAGGGGTGATATTAGTAGCAGCAAAACTCGCCGAAGAAGATGTGCTGGCGAAGTGCCATGAATATTCTCAGCCCACACAAGCCAAGTCTTCGCTCGCACAGTTGGGAACCTACAGGTGTTCTTTCAATCACCTTGGTTGTTGCGGCTTGAAGCTAGAAGGGTCTGGGTTCAAGACTGCCCGACAACAAGTTCATCTCATGGTGTCCAGACTTCAAGTAATGGCTTGCCAGATGTCCTGCCGGATGATATCGCAGGATTCAGAGCTTGCTGACTTGGGCGAGTTCTGTCTGCAGGGCTCAGCACGCTTGAGTGATCTGGACGTTGCATGCGCCTGGCAAGGATTGCGATTGTGGCCTTGCCGCAACTCGTCTTAACCGCCGTGCTTGTCACTCACAGCACACCTTGCCCCCCCGGCTCCACAGCCGTTAGGAGTGCCGTTCCATTGCCGTTACCAGATTGTTTCAGCGACTGTCACGAAACCGAACACGTTTTCTAGCATTCTGGGTTTCAAGCTTTCCGTTTAGGGTTTCGTATCAGTGGCAAGCATTAAAATCATTAAACAACTTTACATGTAATATACAGCATCATATGCTCGTGCCACCCCAAGATCTACCCGAGATTGTTTTTCTCCTGACAATAGCATGTTCTGGTACCTGTACCCGACTGGGCGGGTGTATACGTGCACATGGTCGCCCCCCCCGTCCATCAAAGACCATCTACTATGTATGTGTGTATGTATGTATGTATGTATGTATGTATGTATGTATGTATGTATGTATGTATGTATGTATGTATGTATGTATGTATGGTATGTATGGTATGTATGGTATGGTATTGTATTGTATTGTATGTATGTATGTATGTATGTATGTATGTAATGTATGTACGTATGTGCGTATGTACGGATGTATGTGTGTAGGTGACGCTTTGAGGCACTTGGTGTTCACATGCTTCCCACAGGCAGATCTTGCACGCTAGTTTTGAATCAGATGTTGCTTCGGCACGCAAGCTTTGACTAGTCGCGGCAAACGGCAGGGAAGCAAGGAGCTTCTTCATCACAGATCATAGGAGCTGCCTAAGATGCAAACAGGTCGTTGGTTGAGAGGAATCTGTCAGTCCAACTGGTTTGAACTGGTGGCTTTTGCTTCTGAAGCGCGTCAATAGCTCTGCTAGTTCGGTTCGTTCCCGGCGAAACACCACATCGAGCCAGGGCCAGGACGGCATGCATTCTCAATGTTTCTTTTGCCATTGCCCTTTCCATTGCTACGCATCTTTTTTTGAAGAGCTGCATGGATACACAGATGTTCCTAAGGAGCCGATGCTCAACTCCTTGCAGGACTCCTGCGCGCGTCTCCAGCTTAGCGGCTACGTGGTTTCCGCATTTCAGAACCGAAGGCCCTTCCGAAGGGCGTAGGACGTTGGGATGCTCTCCCTGAAAGGACACCAGACCAGCCATCAGCGCCTCGGCCAGAAAAAGGCGGAAAATCTCAAAGTGTTCAAGGCAATATCGCCAAAAGACCATAACTCCTAAACCCCGTATACCCTAAGTTTTGCATAGCATTATTCTGCCCTTGCCACTTGGCCTCGGCACCTCCAAAAAAAGCTCTGCCGAAAATGTTTCACCTTGCCGTAAGCCAAGGAAGAGCTTCCCCTGCTGTGGGGTCCTTCCAAGGTCGCATTAATATTCTCACTACAGAAGCTGTGCTGTACATGATTATAATGACCAGCCCAAGGGGGGGGGGAACATATATTGTCGTCCTTGCAGTGGTCCATGGTGTCTCTGTGAGCCTCTGAGGCTGCGAGTGCATACATCCGGTGCACCGGCGGCCATGTCCTGTTACCAAAAGTGCGAAAGAAGGGGGTTTGCAACTTCGTTGAACTTCAGTAGAATTCGCGATCGTCCACGCAGGACAGTTCAATCAGCCCAAAACACAGCTGGCAACAGTACTGCCAGCTTTGCTGGCATTGATTGATCATTAGGCCCATTAGGCACGCTTCTACAAGCATTCCGGACTGTGCACCCAAGCTGAGGTGCAAGATGCACGAAAAAGCGAACAGCCTATCATTGTCATGAATGTGACGAAAGCTTGTGCGCCACGTGCTACCAAAGGCCGGGGGCTGCTTTCTGCTTAAGACTGACCCATTGCTGTCTGTTACTGCTTCGTGCAACCCATTACTGTTTCGTTAAAGCAAGTGTTCTTCTGTCGGCCAGTTACGCGTCAGGAAGCTGGCCAAAGCGGAATCTGCGCCTCAGCACGTTCTGGGCCCACGGTCGACGGGCAGGTTGTCAATCATTTGGAACGCCCAGCTTTCCGATATCCAAGTATAGTAGCTAGCCTCAGACACGGCTAGGTGTAAAGCAGGTTTTTGCCAGTCGTTCCGGTGGCAAATATCGTGTTCTTGGGTTCTTGGCTGCTGCACGGCCCCCGTCGCACATCGTTAACATTCGTTACGAGTCTTTCGTGTTCATGATTTACACGGTTGATGTATGTTGCTGGGGTACCAAGTGCCTGCTTCTGAAGGCATGCCTGCCTACCGCTCTCTCTAAAACCCAACCGACAGCCTGAACACTTAGCCCTCCACCCCTCGCCCGGAACTAAGCATGAAGGATGTCGTTGGCCTGTCACGCATCCTGGGGCCTTATGTGTGGGACTCAGGCTCCAAGGTGCTTTTGGGGCAACGGCTTTGAAGAGTTCGACGCTGGTGGTGAAGGGTGCGGCAGCCGCAGCTGTGATGCATTTGCATAAGAAAGCAGGGTTGAGGATATTGCATTGCCGAAGTGCGTGCCCTCCCAGCAGCAGCAGGAGGAGCTGTCGTTGTTCGTTGTTCGTTCTTCGTTGTCGTCCCGCTTGCCTCCACCGCTGTTGCCTTCTTGCAGACCAAGATCTCCTGCGGCGAAGCTGCAGAAATGCGCGCGGATATCCCAATTTTAACAAATTGCGGGCCCCAACGTAGCGAGTGTCAACGAATGTTGTATTGCGCTAGGGCTTCTTCGCAGAAAGCCTATTCCGCACCAGAGCTGAAGCTTGCTTGTCGCCAGAAGGCTCAAGTTTTTCAGTTTGGGATTTGGACTCAGAGTTGGCAGGGTATGTGTAAGGGGCCAACCTCACAGCTGAGGTCACTGCGATGAATACGCAACGTTCCAGTGTCTTTGTGACGACAGCTCTTCGATGAATTCGTCATGCTTGGTCTGTTGGATGTTGGTTGAATAGCCAAGTGATGTTGAACAGCCTGAGTAAGAGCTTGCACAAGGCAAGGTATCACAGAGCAGCCAAGGTTCCCGTCGAGACTTCATGTGCGAAAAGTGCTACACGAAGCAGGGGTCTCAGGTGACCGGCAGGTCATGCGGGCTGTTAGCATTGTCAGACGAGTGGCATGCTTAGCGTGAGTGTGGCTTCGAGCAACTGTCCACCTTGCGTGGAAGGCAGGAAATCGAAGGGGTTGATTCTTGCAACTGATCCAGTACAGTATTGTGTACAGTGGCAGCGCTGTCTAGTTCCGAGCAACGGGCACACTCGCTTTTTGAATATCTGGAATGAACTGTCAAGCACGTTTCAGGGTACCCTGGATTTCCGAAATCAAAATGCGAGGCAAAACGCACACCAGGCAAAACCACCAACGTTACAAAAACGAGTGGCTCGGCTTATTAAGTTACAAAATTTGAAAAAAACACCGACATGCCCATTCGGCTGTTGGCAGACTGGAGACACCCAGAGATGTTGGACCTCGAGATTTTTGGACTGGGGAAAATAACACGTGGCCTGGGGATACCCTGGGGATATCCAACCGGGGATACCCTTAAGGGATACCAAGGCCCTTCCTTGGCTTCGAAGGGCCCCCCTCGACCGTGAGGCCTTGGACCCTTCCCCTTCCAGAAGCGGGCAAAGTAAGAAGTTAAGAAATCGAGCCCCTCCATTTCTTCAACGAAATCGAGCCCAACAGCTTCTGAAATTGGGTGTTCGGCGGTGTTCGGGGTTTGAGCCAACCCTTCTGGTTCTTTCACATGCCAGCAAGCTCTGGGAGGACGGCTTTGGTCTTTCGAAAACCCAAACAGCTTCCCAAAAGCCTCCCAAACAGAACCCCCGAAACGGCCAATTTCTTCAGTGTTCTGCCAACTATGGCTCACACGTGCCAAAGCTACGGGCGTGTGTGCCATTCGGTTATGCCGTTCAGTCTGTTTTATCATTAAGACGTGCAGTAGATTCATGGTTTTGGTCCGTGCTTTTGGTTTCTTTCACATTTCTTTTGCTTCGACAGGTGGTCAATTTCCTGGAGAACTTTCGACTTTATGGTCGTATCTTGACAGTACATGATTATATTCTTAATTTCTGGTGTCTTGTTCATTCGTTGTTCATTGATTCACTTGGCTCATGCTTTTCGTATTAGTATTTTCTCTCCTTGCTCTCCCGAATAGTTCACTCTTCACCACTGTCCTAACATGAATGGTGTCTTTTCAGGGAGCGATTTTCTTAGAATTTTTTTGGGGGGCCGAGCAGAGCAACTTAATAACGTTTTATCCAGAATCTGAAAGTACCCTCGATTGCTTGAATTTGAAGGATCCCTACTATATGACACTGTATATAGCAACAAGACTACAATGTAGCGTGATACACGTCAAGCCCTAAACCCCATATTACTGGTGGCTTGCACCATGCAAGTTGGACCAAAGCCTGACCCAACTGTCTGCCGTCAGGTCCAAAGACGAAGAGAGGCTTGTCGATCGCTCGGTTTCGGGATTGGGGGCTTAAACTTCGTAGAAGTTTGAGATCCTTCTAAAGCTGCCAGGTTTAGGTCGGACATAGGTTTGAGCATTGCCAGCACCTTTGTTCTGTGGATCTGGATAAACTATAGAGTCACGGCATCCGTGATCCAAGCTTGTTTACCGCTTAAGACTCTAAGTGCACCTAGGCTTGTGCCTGGCGCCTTCCACCTTTGTTTGTGGCATCTCATGTTGTTGTGTGATGAGTTAGTGAATGGTGTCAGTGAATCGTGTGTGGAGTAGGAGGAGGGCGGAGGAGGGAGGCGGCGGGAGGAGGAGGAGGAGGGAACTTCTGTACGGGAACGTTCAATGCTCACCTGAGTCAGACCCTGCTTCGGGTGTAGGCTTCAAAGTTCTGGTTCCATGCATGGAAGAGGTATAACCAGGCTTCCACGAAGTCACTAAAGGTCCAGTTTATCATCCTCAACGCTGTGGTATATGGAGATTTCCTCTAAGTTGGGGGCTTCCCTGCTTGTCATATCTTGTCATAGTAAACAGGAACTACATTCTCGAGCGTTCTCCAGCAGACCCTGATCTTAGACACACGCATCGAAGGTCCCAGTCTAACAACCTCAATCGGGATCAATTTGGCCCCTTTGGGAATTGCGGGCCTGCTGATGCCTCACGAACAGGCTGAACTGAGTCGCCGTGCCTGGAGCCTTGTCGGAGCACTTCACAGACATCCCCCCCCCCTGCGCAGAGCAATCACACCAACTACAAAAGTTGCCAAACACTTGGCCTCTGACTACTTAAAAAAGGACAGGAGCCATGTCAATGCGAAGTCTGTGCGTGAAGCCCAAAGCGTGGCCGGAACGTCCCGAAGCCTAAACCATGGGTTTTCATCTTTATGGACACCCTTTGCCACCAAAGAGCTGTGCAGTGGCGTGCCAGGCAAAGAAAGGAGGTGCCTCGGCGCATCTTATCCAAGGTTTAGGCTTTAGGGAGTTTAGCCGTCGAGCGGTTTGAACCCTAAGCCCTAGACCCCAAACCCCTGTGGCAAAAAACCTCAAGGGATTTAGGGAGCCCGTAGCCTGCCGGCCCCAAAGAGCCTGTGGGTTTAAGTGACCCGAATGGGGTACTGTAAGGGTAGAGTGGGTAGAGCAGAGTGGAGTAGTGAAGAGAAGAGTATAAGAGAGCTTTGGAGGGTTCAGGGCCAAGGACTTGAGATTGATGCAACGCATTGTGGTGGACTGGAGTATGCTAGAGTGTACCATACAACGAAAGTCTATCGGAGTAGAGTACATAGTGTGTTAGGGTGTGGTAGGGCCGTGGTGTTCCGGCTGACACAGCCTTGCATTCCTCGATGCGGCGTGGCTTTCGGGAGATTTGGGGAGCTTCGGAACCTGATCTCCCGATGCTGCTGATTTGTGTTTTTTTCACACTGGTGGAGGGCGGAGACTGGCTAAGTCCTACAGCAGCAGGTAGGTTTGTCAGCTTACCAACCCCAAGCCAACACACAAAGCTCAGGCTCTCGACAAGCTGCTTTGCAACAAGGGCCATTTGATGCGGCCGATCTCCAAGCTGCGGAGTCGTCGCTCCTTCGGTGCTTGCAACTCTCTGCAATCTTAGCAATGTTGCATCCCCAAGGGTCCCCATGCCCTCTGCTGGCTGTCCCCAGACCCTTCTAGCCAGAGTTGTTCATTCACGCAAAGAAAGACCCGCACGAAGTATGGTTTTTTAGTACAACCGCATTGAATTGTTTCGGCTTTCGGGGACGGGTTGCGGGCTGCCTTCCCAGAAGGCGATGGACGAACAAATTGATAAATGTGACCCCATTTACAAGGGCATATTACTGTAAATTTTAGTACACAGCTTTGAGTACAAAGGCCCTGCTCTGAGGTGACAGATGTGGCTCTGCAGAAGCTTCTTACCGCTGTCTTCCATGCCAGCTCAATGTGTGCGGCTCCTGCTACTTCAAGTCCGGCACCTAGCCCCACTCTGGGCGTCGTATGGTATGCAGTGATCGCGGATGATACCAGGCTGTAGTGCAGTCTGGTGTAGAATGGTGGTAAGATTGGTAGAGAGTACATATGCTATGATAGTCTGCAGTATACCAAGCTAAACCTAGATCACCCCCACAGGTACGAAACCCTGATCCCAAAAGCGCTAAACCCTAACCCCTGAAATCTAAAACCCTCAAACCCTTAAAGCCCAGAGAACCATTCGGGTTTGGGGTACCACCTGCAGGCCGTCAGCAAAGACACCCGTGCCTTGCCTCGGCTCAGTACTTGACATAGAGGTTTGATGGCGTGCAAGAGCAGTAGTGTTACTGGTAGAAGTAGTGGTAGTGGTAGGAGTAGTTGCGTAGTTGACGCCAGGTTTTTGTCAACGTTGATGGGCCGTTACATCTGTTTTTACAAGGTTCCATGTGTGTGAGACAGGCAAATCACTATTGTACGTTTTTTGTTTTTGTTTGCGGTTTCGGCTGCATGATAGTTGCAAAAGCGCTGAAAATAGTGTTTGCGGCATGTTCGCAAAAAGGCATGAAGACTTGTGACAGCGCGTCTGGTTGCAAAGGCATCAAACACGCTCTTGCAATGTATTTTAGAAAGGGCAAAAATTCTGAACATTCCAGAGTTGTGGGCATGTTCGCAAAAGGCTTGTGAGAGTGCATCTTGTTCCAGAACCGTCAAACATCCTGGTGCGGCATGTATACAGGAGCAAGAATAGTGTGAGTACCGGTGTTTTGGGCAGGGTTAGAGTAACACGGTCGTAACCAAACCCCCCCCCCCTTCTCCCCCCCTCCCCAACGTCATAGCAAGTAGGTGAAGGATGATAGGAAGCGAGAGGAGAAAAAGTACAATCCACTCTTTTGTGCACATTGCGCGTAAACCTAGGTTTTCTGAGCGTGAAATAGGGGGTAGGGGGGGTGGTGGGGGGTGGTTGCCCCTGCTCCAGATAGAATTGTTAGTACAGAGCAAACGCATAAGTGCTGCTAGTAGCCAGCCGTGCTCCGGCTAATGTTTTGGATGCTTCGACACGCTGTATACGCTGTACTATTATATATATATATATATATATATTTAGTTATTTATTTATTTACATATATATATGTATATGCTATGTATATATATATATATATGCTCACACCCCCCCCCCCCATGACCCACCGTGAGGCCGTGTCGGAGTAAGAAATCCATATTTAGTCGTAGGTATGAATTTAATAAGAACCCTATTAATTGAATGAAAACCCTATGAAAATCAATACGAACCCCTATTGAAATTAACAAGACTCTTATTGAAATGAAGAGGAACCTTATTGAATTAATAGGAAAAATGACTTGGAATCATTTTTGAGTCATAGGAACTCTCTATCAAACGTCATAGGAAAGTTATTAAGATGTAGAAAAATAATAGGGCCCCCATGAAGAATAGTAGGAAGCCTGTGAAAATGAAAAGGGACCCTTTCTGAATACACTGGAATGTGGGAATTCTTTTAAATCTAAATAGGAATCCTATTGATATTTCTCTTAATCTTGTTATGATGAATTAGAATCCTATTGAAATCATTAGGAACCCCGCTAAAATTCATAAGAGCCCATTTGCAAATTAAGAGGAATCTTTTTAAAATGAAGAGGGTCCTACCATCAATAGGGCTTTATAAGCAACACTCATAAAACTCATAAGAACCCTACTGCAAATTAATTGGAATCCTTTGACAATGAAGAGAAATCCTACCAAAATGAATAGGAACCAACAGGAATCCTATAAAAATAAACGTGGTTCGGATTTCTAGGCTTCCTGTTAGAATTAATGTGATTCCTATTAGAATCAATGGGACAGGAATGCTATTCAAATCTCTCAGAAAAGACCATTAAAATTACTTTGAGACTCACTAACATGAATAGGAACCAATAGGAATCCTAGAAAAGAAGTATGAGCCCTTTTCATTTTCAGAGGGACCCCTATTGAAACTAAAAGAAGCCATTTCAAAATGATTGAGAACCTTGTTGGAATTCATAAGAACCCTATTAAAAATAGCAAAAAAACAAAAACAAAGTATTAGGAGCACTGCTACAGAGAATAAGAACCCTATGAAAATTCATAAGAATAGTCTGAAATGGTAGAGGAGTCCTATTAAGATGGTTAGGAACCTTGACGTTAATCGGAATTCATGAGGAACCCCCAGCAAAATTAAAAAGAACCCGATTACAAATTGATAGGAATCCTTTTAAATGAAGAGGAACCCTACTAAAACAATTAAATAGAACCCAATAGGAATCCTACAAACTTCAATGTGGTTCCTTTTCAAAGTTTCTAGGCTTCCTGTTGGACTTAATGTGATTCCTATTAGAATTACTAGGACTAGGAATGCTATTCAAATTTCCAAGAATACCATTAACATTACTGGGAGACTCACTAAAATGAATAGGCACCAATATGAATCTAAAAAGGAAGTATGAGCCCTTTCTAATTTCAGAGGAACCCTATTGGAATTAAAGGAACCACTTCAAAATGATTAAGAACCTTGTTGAAATGCATAAGAGCCCTATTGAAAAGTATTAGGAATCCTCTGACGTTGAATATGAACCCTCTGAAAGTTCATAAGAATATATGTAAAATGAAAAGAAGTCCTATAAAGATTGTTAGGAACCCTTTAACATTAATAGGAATAGGAATGCTATTGCTGAGATTAATATAAGACTGACCAAAACCAACTTCTTCCCGCTGAAAAGAAAGAGCCTCCAAGCATGCTGACACGCCCTGCTTCGAAAGAAAACCGTCCACTGGACAGCTACATGTAGAGCTGAACGGTTCTGGCCCGAGAGAGGTACGAGGCAAATCAAAAAACCAAAAAAAACATCTTTTTCAGAGAATGCGGAGGGGATTTTGAAAAAGATTGTTTTTTTTTTGGTTTTGCCTCGTAAAAAGATGGTTTTGCATCTATGCAAAACTATCTTTTCACGAGGCAAAACCAAAAAAAACATCTTTTTTTAACATCCCCTCCTCATTCTCTGAAAAAGATTGTTTTTTTGTTTGTTTTCTTGGTTTTGCCTCGTAAAAGATGGTTTTTCATAGAAAAAGCCAACTTTTCGTAAAAGGATTGTTTTCCTGAGGCAGACCAAGCCAAAACCATCTTTTTACGAGAGAAAAGTTGGTTTTCCTATGAAAAACCATCTTTTTGCGAGGCAAAACCAAAAAAAACATCTTTTTTAACATCCCCTCCCCATTCTCTGAAAAAGATTGTTTTTTGGTTTTTTGGTCTCGCCCGTGTCGGCGTCCAGTCCTGTGGTCCGTGTGGGGTCTGTTTTGTCGAGAGACAGCCACTGAGAGTAGCAAAAAACGGCATAGGGCACGAGCGGGTTTTAAACGGTATTTACAAGGGAAAAAGATCACGGTGGGCCATGGGGGGGGGGGTGTCCATACTGCATATATATATATATACTATTACGACATGTGGTTGCGATATGTGACGTTCCATAAGCTATATTCTATCTCGAACTGTTCGCTTAAGCGAGGCCTCTGTTTTTCATCGGGGTCGGATGGGGCCCATTTGATTCGGATCCAGATTGAGGTCTCTGTCGAAGGGAGTCTGCAGTGGAGCCACAGGCTGATTGTTCAGGATGTAGGACCTTTTTCGTTTTTTCGTGTGGGTACCGCAGGGTCCATCAGTATGGGGCGAGCACGCCGCAGGCCTTTTCGCCAAACATCCGCTACCGCCACCAAAAACATGATGAAAGGCGGCGCCGGGCTGCAGATGGATAAAGTAGACGAGAGCGCACAAGAGCAATGGTGTCGCATGTCCGGGTCCGGCCCCGGTTGCAAGATGTTGTTGACGGACATAACCACGCCTGTCGCTTGCGAACAAGTGCTTCTATTCTTGTGATGAGATCTTGGAATTTGGCTTAGTCGGAACCATCGTAAGAAAAGAATCTGAAAACGATCAGGGAGGGGGGGGCCAGAGGGGAGGGAGGGGGGGAAGGAGGCCTCTCAAAACTTTGAAGCGAACTAACCTCGTGTATTGACACGTGGTGATGATGTTTCAGCATCGTATGAATTTCCGAGTTTCGGTGCATGGACATGCATTTCTGGCGACAGCGGCGCAAAAGGGCCGGGAACCCAAGTCAACCCTCCACAGACAGAAGGGCAGATTTTGGACAGCGTATGTACTTCACCTATTTCAATGGTCTCAAAAGCGCAAAATGTGGCTTCAACGAGGTCCTATCGGCAAAGTGTGCAATTGTCCGGAGAGTTCAGCATGGGTTCATCTGCGCATGCCATCAGGGAACAAGCAGCTGCGGAAGCTGCAGCTTGGCTTGCAGCCAAAAGTGCGTAGTTTTGGCTCATAAAATACTCAGCAGCAGAAAGACTCCAGCACTCTTCAGAACTTACCCGTGTATACATTTCGATCCATGATCATTGTTGCAATGACTTCGTATGGCAGATGCACAGACAAAGCGTGGCTTTTGTTGATGTTTCGAAGGGCGCGTCTGTGTCAGGAGGCATGGCAACGTTAGCTGGAAGACACGCAAGCCCACCAAGTACCCTAAACAGAATTCAGGTCTGTGACACACGCGCGCACACGCACACATACACATACACACACACACACACACACACACACACACACACACGCATGCCCAGTTTAGTTTGACTCAGGCTCTGAAGACCTCGCAGCCGCAGTGCAGCAATGGGCATCTTTTGGTTCTCAGTATCGACAACCTGTTCAAACATCAATTTGAAAACACTTGCGCCTTGATTGCAAAAAGCTGACCAAAGCCAAGTGGGAGCTCTCAGACTCTTAGAGCTGAGGCCGAAAATGTCTGAGACGTGCGGAATATTCGTACGAATGCCGCTCTTGCGCTTTCGCCCTCTGTGACGAATGCTTTTACAGGCGCCCCGGCTAGGGCTGCCTTGACTTGCTGCGATCTCCTACGGGGCCCCATGTCTGAGCGGAACGCAAGCTTGCTCTCAAACTTGCAGGATCCAGGCAGACATGGAGAAGGAACATGGGCAGGAGGCACATGAAGATTATTCCGTGCCTCGGCCACCCAGTTTTTGCATCCGAAACCCCAAGGCTGAAGCCCCCTTCGGCTTGAGGTGTGCAGGGTTTCGTTGGGGGTCTAAAGTTGTTCCTTTGTAGTGACCTGCCTGAGAGGTGGAGAAAGAACGCTTTTTCGTTCCATGTCACAGAACTGAATACGCTGGAGCTTCTACTTCGGGGTCAAGATGGAAAAGTTCATCCGCGACTTCCTACTACATCTAGGCTAGGTTCAGAGGAACCCCTCTGGTCTGGTTTTGCAAGGCCCAGGTCACCTGTGCAATGGCATCCTGGTTGCCTTGGTGTGGCGTTGCCTGAACCAAAGCCATGCTTCCTGCCTCCCTGTCTTCCCAGAAGATGCCCTGCCTAGCGTGCGGGCCGCAGTAGTGGCCCTCCATGATTAGTCCCGTGGTGCACTGTTGACAGTTCCTTGAGCTCGGGCCTTGTTTGCATGAACGCGCGCACCGAGGCGCCGCCCGCCAATGCCTTTCAGGATCTGTCAGCACTTGGGTGTTGAGCTACTACCGTCATGGATGTCGTGGGATGCATTGCAAGCAGGTGAACTGTAGGTGTCCATTCACTGCATCGGAATTGTTTGTCTGTCGTCCCGCGCCAATATTGTCAATGCACTGTGAACCATCCCTAAGGCTCCGGGGTCTTCAGCGCGGCATAACTGGAACCCCGAAATGGCCTGAAATCCCATAAAAGTACGCTCAGAGACCTTTCCTGTCCAAACTGGTGCTCCCCCAACATTTGTGGCTTTAGAGCTTTAGTAGCATGTTCTCGGGATGCGCCATGTGAGTTCTTTTGCATGCCCATCACGCACCTTTTAAATGGCCCTGCACCCTAGACCCCCGAAATCATGCGAAACTCCGGGAAGTGTTAGACAGGATCTGCCGAGATGCCCAAAAGGCCACAGTGTGACTTACCTGGGAGCTTCCAGGCCTTGTTTGTTGTTGTTCTCAACGGTTCTGGGCTGAAGGGTTTCAAGGGTTAGGCGAATTAAAAGCCGGGCTAGCACTGTGCAAGGGCTTCTTTGGCGGTGTCATGATGCATAGTATACTACAGTTACTATGCCCATATATTGCTTAGGGTGAATATGACGATCGCATAGTCTAATCTAGTCGAATCTAGTCTAGTCTAGCGCGCTCCAAAATAGCACAGTATTGCGCAGCCCAAAAGAGCCCCAACACCCATTTTCTAGTTTCATAACGACAGGGAGACGAATTGGAGATGCGATGCTTGCAAGCGTGGCAGCCCGGCGCCCGGTGGACTTCTCCTGTGCGTTGCTCTAGGATGTTTGGGCCAGTGTATATGCTGTAGTTGGTTATTGTATGCTGAGTTAGCAAAACACCTCCAAAGTAGCAGTTCCATGTCACGACTCGTGGTACAGATTAGGACTGGACTCAGTGAACTTACTTCATGGTTGGCAAGGTGTGACACTTCGTGTTTACTAGTACCTTTCCTCGTCTTAGTCCAACCTTGTGTACTTCACTGGCCAATAGCCTCACGCGACTTCACATCGACTTGCGTTCGTAGGTACTGATAGAGTAGAAAGATTCTCGTGAGACACAGGCGCGGGAGTCATTAAAACAGTTTAAAGGCTAACAAAAAACACTTTAACAAGCTACCGCGAAATACCGTTTAGTAATTCAAAACAAACGAGTTAAGAAGAAATAAAGAAAGAAGTACAGAAAGAAAGAAAGAAAGAAAGAGAAAAAGGAGCGAACAAAGGATAGGAATAAAACAGGAGGAGAAGAAGAAACTATTGCTACTGCTGCTGCTATTGCTAGAGTATATCTAGGATCATATAGTTTATACATGGAAAAACTAAAGGACGCACACATATTTCTATATATAGAGTATATATATATACTCTATATAGTATACTTGCTATATATACAACAATGTATTACAGTATTATATTACGATGGTATGGGTGGGTTGTGGCCCGTGTCTGTTGAGTTTGCAGCTTGCACGGTGGCCACACCGCAGTGCAATAATAAGGGCTGGCCTACGAGGTATAACTGGGTTCAGCCTTTGCAGGGTCGGAGCTACTATGAGGGCTGGTGCACTACTTCACGTTCCTGCCAACTGCGGGGCAAACGGCGGATCATGGCATGCTTCTGGTTGGCGATGGTGCTCACGCTGGATGTGCTGCGGATTGCACGGATGAATGGTGCGATTGTGTGGAAGATGGGAATACTGTGAATACATACCTTCCCGACACCATAAGCAGGCTTTCAGCTCGAAGCAGCTACATCTTCTGCTCTGAGCGCTCACGCGAGGGGGGCCACCCATGCGGGCGGCGCTGGGCCACTCCTGGAGTGGGGCACGTTCCAGGGAAGGGGCTCAGTCATCTGGCCACGTCAATGGTTGTCACCATGGGCTGGGCAGCAAACCCTTCAAGGAGACCTGTGACCTGCAAAGCTGCAGAGCAACACCGTCAGGACCTCGCTTTCGAGAAGATGTTCCAAAAAGTTTGCGCGGCAGTCATTCGGCATATGCTGGGCGTTCTAGAAGCAGTTCACTGTGGCCCAGTATGTGGCAGTGTTGTTCTTGATCTGGAGCTGTTCAGGCCCTTGAGAATCTTCAAGTCGCTGCTTGCTGCGGCTCTGCACTTCCCTTGGACTTGGAAAGTGCTTCGACCTTTTTTCAGGCCGTGCGATTGGCCCAGTTGAATCTCCCCGCTTAATCTTCCCTTGCAGGTCCCTGCTCCAGGAAGGCAAAGCCCATCTCTGAGCCGATTCTGACCCACCAGCTGAATGCAAACACGCCACGGATTCAGCGCAAAAAAGCCAAAAACAAACCATGGAATACTATAGTATTGTCTCACCATACTAGTTTTTGCATCGACTACAGACTGTACATGACCATCTTCTTGCACTAGCTTGCGCAGCATGACATTGCCCTTGCTGGCCAAGTCCACGCCTTCGATTCGCAAGAGGCGCTGGAGGGCATTCCCAGATACAGGTAAGTCCAAGGCAAAGACTTTCTTTGAGGGTACTTTCCTGCTAGCTAAAAGATCTCTCTCGGAGAGCCAGCAATGTGAAGTTGGTCTTGCTTGTGACAGTGTTTACACAAAACGTCTCGCGTGTTGCCGTTTATCAGCTGTGCATTCCACTAGTATATTGTATTAAGCCATGCCGTTTTGTGATGTGTTCTTGTATATGGAGCTCGAGTGTTTCCTGTTCTGCACTAATGACGACCTGCTCTGCTGGACTTTTTGACAGCAGAACACGAGTCCTAAAACTTTTGACCCTAAGCCCTCAACCCTGAAGCCCTCAACCCTGGAGCCCTAAACCCTGAAGCCCTAAACCCTGAAGCCATAAACCCTGAAGTCCTAAATCAAGGTATCGGGGGACACTTTCGATCCTAATGCCTCAGCGAACACTGCGAAGAGTACCTTTGATCATCTGTCAAGATTATCTGAAAAGTCTGAAAAGTGTGTGCCGGAGATGGCCTGGGAATTTGGTTATGTCCCTGTCCGAGATGTTAGTGGATGTACGCTTCCACCTGTCTCGTTTTGCCGTTTGGACTAGTTTTGACAGATGTCCTGTCAAAACATGGGTGATAAAACAAAAGGCGATAAGCTGTGTGCCATGTACGTCACAATCTGACGGCTACTGCTCCCGGCAACCTGACATAGTGTCTTTCTGCATCGACAAACACTGTAGCATACGTAGCATATAGCATAGTGAACCTATATAAGAAAGTAGCGAAAGCGTGGCATCGTATGCTCTGCTACAGCCCCAACTCACCAACAAGCCCCAAAACTAAGAGACTGCAGGATTCGAACATGTCAAGGCGAAAAAGTGTTAGTTCCTAATAAACCCCGGTAGCCCAAAACCTGTTCTCACATGATGTTCCAGGAGTGTGAGTTTGATCTCTGCGGCCGATGTTTTTTGCCACCAGATCCTGTGGAAACTTGGCATCCTTGAAGTGTAAACCTGCGGGTTTAGGATCAATGGTTGTAGGGTAGAGTTCTTGCCCAAACAGAAATATTGCCAGTGCATTAAGCTCATGAATTTGCATGTTTCTTGGTGATTCCAACCCGGGTTCAAGGACACCCCGTTTCGTTGTTGTCCCTTTCGTCTACCTTCGTGTGGCTGGCTTCTTGAATCTCCCGATTTGTGGCCAGTCTCCTCAACTCTCTCCCTTCATGTTCGTGGCCTTTGCCGTGTTCTCGGGCACCTTTTCTGTCTCTTCATTCCGGTGGCCCGTGCTGGGTTTTGTGGATGCTTGGTGCTAGACTAGAGCTTTGGGGGCGTGTCCCAAGTGAACGCAATCTAGCAGAGAAAATAGTTAATGTGTGTTGAGTTCAGCCAGATTTGTCGGTATCTAAGAGCTGCCATAAAGGAAGCACGGATCCAAGTTCTGCCCCGATGACTGGGATGCCAAGCATGCTCTTCCTGACCCGGCCATAAACACCAAAGGAAGAAGGCTGCATGACAAGCTTAGGAGCCATTGTGCTACAACGGCCATCGCATGCTGCGGTGGAAGTTTCGCTGGAGGTACTGCAAAGGCAGGTGAAGCTCCACTATACTAGCATGCTGTAGTATAAGTATGCGGTAGCGCGTGTTTCATTCTACTGTGCGTGTGCATTGCGTAGTATACTTTGCTTACTCGATCGAGCTACACATTCACGTTTGTGTTAACACTCCATGAGGGCCGTCAGGGTTCAGGGCTTGAGTTTAACCAAAGGGGCCCGAAAACCTGAAACCTAAGCTCTAGACCTTGCCTCGGGGGATTTCTGCACAAGTGCACAACGCGAAGGGCTTGCACACTGCATCCCTAAAGCTACTACGGTTTGCTGTATCATCTATTGTGTTGTTCCCTCTAGCATACCACGTTCGGCTATGCGATTTTTTGTAGGCCATGGCAGGCTACAGTGTAGGTCACGCCACCGTTTGCGAGGAGACTCAGGAGACCATTGTGTTTCCACGCGAGGAAAAGCTATCAGAAATCTAGAAGAGAACATGCGCCTTGTACGTCAAATCTTGCTGCACCATAGTACATGCAACCTGGGTGAAGCAGGCGAGAAATGCAGCAAATCCCCCACGGTCTACCGTTGTCGCGCATGCGACCTGGACCTCTGCGACTAGGCTTTCGAGCACAGATTTTCCGATGCTTTTTGAAGTGCATCGGACAGAAGGCTGATGTTTCGTAGAATACGAGTAGACTACAGGCCCCATCGGTTCATACCGTTTTTGGAGCTCTGAACTTAGGCAAAACTTGCGCGGGCAAGCCAGGACCTCGGTTCAGCTCAAGAGTTGCATGACCCCCCTTAGCGATATGGCGGGCTTTTGACTGGTGCTGTGCTACAATCAAATATTGCTGCAACAGGGACAGCGCTGTTTAAGAAAGGGGTTGTCCAAGCTGAGGGTACCCTCGAAATCTTAAGCTTCGCCCGTCTGAGAGCACCCTCGATTTCTTGATTAGTTTCATACATTGGGTAGCCAAACACACATCAGGCGAAACCACAAGAATCAGAAAATGAGTGGCTCGGGTTTCCTCACATCGAAGCCCGACACGCTGCCATTAAGCTGCTGGCATCCTGGGAGATGCGTACTGGTGTTAATCTTGCAACTGGGATTCGACACCTGAAACCCTGAGTTGCCCTTTGATGTGGGGGTGGAAGGGGTGGGGGGTTGCCTGGGAGCGCTTGCAGAAAGACCACTGCGGGATGCCAAGGCCCTGCACCTTTGAGGGGCCCTGGTTACACATCTTGAGGCCTTGGAAAAGACCCTTTTTTGCTCAGAAATCTTCGGTGTTTTCCAAGCACTCATGGTACGTCCACGGGCCTCCATGTTCCCAAGGTTGTGGGTTCAATCGCAGTCCTATTCCAAGACTTCAGAAAAGGAAAGGCTCGATTTCTTAATCTGGCGACCTGAGCTCATGCGAGCACTCGATGTGCAAATCCCTGCAAGCCGAACTTGCTTTTCGCGTACTCCGAGTGCAAGACCGCAAACCTGAAATTGCACCACAACATTCCTGAGCCCTAAAAACTGACACCCAAACTTCCTGAAATCCAGTCCCAAGGCAATGTGACAGAGGCGCACAGAAGAAAGGAGCTGAGGCGCCCCGGTTTGGGAGGAGACCCACGGGTTAGGGTAGAGGGTATACTTTGTGTACTAACGATAAAGTCTACAATTGATAAACTGTGGTATAACATCTGTATACTGTGCTTGTGCTGCTGGAGCATGCTCCTCGTGTCCATGGCTTCATTGGTTTCTGATCTGAATTGGGGGCCGTTGCCTCCACTGTCCTGGTCTGCAACTTCAGCAGCTGCTGCTCCTGGCCTGTGAGGTGCCGTTCAGGAGGACTAGGAGATCCGACGCAGCTCCGACATCGGAGGGCGGAGAGGCTGACGCGTTCGGCCTGTATGCAAGAGCCGGTGCAGAGCTGCGTCCTCCTGGTGTAGTAGTAGTAGTAGTAGTAGTAGTAGTAGTAGTAGTAGTAGTAGTAGTAGTGGTGGTGGTGGTGGTGGTGGTGGTGGTAGTAGTAGTAGTATTGGTAGTGGTAGTAGTAGTAGTAGTAGTAGTAGTAGTAGTAGTAGTAGTAGTAGTAGTAGTAGTAGTAGTAGTATTGGTAGTGGTGGTAGTAGTAGTAGTAGTAGTATTAGTAGTAGTAGTAGTAGTAGTAGTAGTAGTAGTAGTAGTAGTCGTGGTAGTGGTGGTGGTGGTGGTAGTAGTAGTAGTAGTAGTATTGGTAGTGGTGGTAGTAGTAGTAGTATTGGTAGTGGTGGTAGTAGTAGTAGTAGTAGTAGTAGTAGTAGTAGTAGCAGTAGCAGTAGCAGTTGTAGCAGTAGTAGTAGTAGTAGCAGTAGTAGTAGTAGTAGTAGCAGTAGTAGTAGTAGTAGTAGTAGCAGTAGTAGTAGTAGTTGTTGTTGTAGCAGCAGCAGTAGGAGGAGGAGGAGTCGGTGACACGCCTTGAGTTGATCCCCGTTCTCTGTTTTGCTGGGTGGAGAGGGGGTAGTAGTAAGTAGTAAGTAGTAGGTAGTACGTAGTTAGTAGTTAGTAGTTAGTAGTTAGTAGTTAGTAGTTAGTAGTTAGTAGTAGCAGTAGTAGTAGTAGTAGCAGTAGTAGTAGGAGTAGTAGTAGTAGTAGGAGTAGCAATAGTAGAGTAGTAGCAGTAGTAGCAGTAGTAGTAGTAGTAGTAGGCGTCGTAGTAGTAGTAGAAGTAGTAGTAGTAGTAGTAGTAGTAGTAGTAGTAGTGATGGTGGTGGTGGTAGTAGTAGCAGTAGTAGGAGTAGGAATACTAGTAGTAGTTGAGGAGTAGAGCTCAATTCCCGTGGCGCCCTACTCGAACTTGAAAGCACACCACCAAAACCTCAGAACATCTCATAGACAGGAGGAGTTGCAAACATGATAGCAGCTTCTTCAACAAAGTAGCATCGCATTTTACACGCTCCACGATGCTGCGTTCCAAGAAGCATTATCTATACGACCTGTAGAGAAAGTTATGGAAGCCTTGCACTGTGCAGGGGCCTGGCCTGACGGAGACCTCCGAGGATGACACGCAGCTGGAAGTAGCCGTCTTGGGCTTGAGGTACGAGCATTCTTGTGGTGACAATAGTTGACTTGGAGACCTTAGTTTTTTTCATTAGGTGTGAGCGGATTCGTTGAGCTTAAAGGAGTAGAGTTTGAGTACAATGTGTCGTTGATTTGTCTTGGCAGATGGCCTTTTTGACTTTGGTGGCCTAACCCTCAGCCCATTTTGCCTGCGCACGTGATTTTCCCAATGCCACGACGTCCGATGACGATACCGCAGCCATCATCTTACTGTACTACACTCAAGAGTTGAAGCACAATAGCATACGATACATACGATACTTTGGATGGTTGAGGATCTCCGCATGACCTGCCAAATTCTAGGCTCAGAGAACCAGGCATGTGGTGCGCCCGGAGGTTCCCCTCCTCCGGAAGCATGCACAACTTCAGTACCTTTGCAGTCGTGAGCGTGTTGTACCTGCCGTATACTAAATCAGGTTTGCCAAAGCTCGGCTCCCTTTGATTTTATAGTTTTTGTCTAGCGTCGTAGAGAGCGCCGCAAGAGACCAACTCTCGGTAGAGGGATGGTTGTAAACAGCCCAAATGTCCCAGTTCATCGTAGAACTGATTCAAGCACAGCGACATAAGGCGCAAAATGTGGAACCGCGAGGGTTAGCTGAGAAGGAATGCCGATGAGTAAAGAAGCTCCGGGCAATCTGCGCTATATGCTGTATGATATGACTATGATAAGGGATGGTGAGTTTAAACAAAGGTTTGCCTGGCCATAGCCGGATAGTCTATTCAGATTTGGGGATATTTGATCCCCACCCCAAACCTCGAGAAGAATTACATCCATGTTGGTTTTCTACGTCTGCCAACCAAAGCCTGACTGAGACGCCCGAACCGCTGCCATCACCAAGCATGGTTCAGGCGTTGCTCGGATGAGACCAGTTGAATGAAACAACGTTCATAGGTTGTGGAGTCGAAGATGGGGTATGGGACTTACGATTTTGGATCTTGTGAGTTTTGGCTACGTCATGCAGCGTTCGGCATCCGTCATCTTAGAGGGTGTCGGGTCTGGGCTTGGGAGCCGAGGTTATCGCGATCAAGCTTCCCGAGCATTCATGTCCGCACGATGGGAATGTCCGTGTTTCCAGGGCATCCATGTCCGCACGATGACAACGTCCGTGTTACCAGAGCATCCATGTCCGCATGATGATAACGTCCATGCTAACACATCGGTATTTGCTGCGAATGGCCAGAGCATCCATGTCCGCACGATGATAACGTCCATCCATACCAATTCTTGCCCTTTTGCGCATTCTGAGACGAAAGTGCAAATGCATGGGAAGTACCATGACACATATCACACATGCAAGCCGACCAGGAGCCTGGGGGCGCGGTAGCCGAGTAGTAGTAGTAGTAGTCGTCGTCGTCGTCGTCGTCTTAGTAGTAGTAGTAGTAGTAGTAGTAGTAGTAGTAGTAGTAGTAGCAGTAATTGCACTTGCAATAGCCATAGCAGTAGTCGTCGTCGATATAAACCCATATAAACCCTATGAACCCTGATAAACCTGAGGGTTTTTGGGTTGTTAGGCACCGGAGGCCCAAGGCCTTTCTTTTCGCTTTGAGGCTGCTTCGGCCCATCTACGACGCAGCCGCCGAGGCAGGCTTCAAGGGAGTTATTTAGGCTGTAGGATTCCAGGGTTTATGGGGTTTAGGGTGTAGAGGTTGCTTAAGGTCATCTACTTATCCTCTACAGACCTTACTAACGGACAGGGTGCAAGATCGCTCGAAGCACTTCGCTCTTGACCAGGACCGTAGTCTACGAATTCCTGTGAAGCCTAATCCCTTCTTAAACCCTCCAGAAGCCTCCAAGCTAGCAGTATGCCATACAATATACTACGAAAGCATCACAGCAACAGCAAAAATGCTGTACACGAAAGCAGCTCGAAGCAGGTCGCCCTTGCTCGCGCAGCAGCTCAGGACCTGTCCTTAGGGTGGTGGCAGTGGCTAGTGGCTTCCGGAGTTTCAAGAGTGAGAGCGCCACAACGTCACAATACCATGGCCGATGTTGGGACCTATACAGAAGGAAGGATTTTGCTTTCCTGGTTTTGGGCCTTCACCAGCTGTGAGTGCATGTTGCTGCAGAGCACCCAGGATCGACGAGAACCGCCCATCATGGCATCATTTAACTTGCTAGTTTTCCAGTTGCCACTTAACGCTGCAACCAAAGCCCAAAGGCACGGGAAATCCAGAGATCCTGCCACGTGCACCGTGCCCGAGTCGTCTTGATGGACATGAGGACCGTTGAGGAACAGATTCTGTCTTATTAGTTGCAGAATGTTGCAGAGGGTTTTCTGCGGTCAGATGCTGTTCAGGAAGCAAGTGCGCGCCGCGGGCGAGGTCCAGCGCAGTTGCCGTGTCCACCTGAGCCGGCTGCAGGCAGGGTTTTTTCATGTCTCTTCCTCCTCCGTCCCTGTTTGTCTTGCACGACAGTGGTAAATGAAATGATGATGACATGCGCCAGCTCGCTCCGCTTTTAGAGGTGCGTGATGTCTTGTTGGTGGCCAAGGAGCAGGCGCTCGGACTCGGATCAACTCGGATCACTCGGGCCCTGTTGTAAGAGTCGTACTGAGTCGCACTGCAAGGGGTATCCGAGAAGGAGAGGGCAGAGACTGTGGGCCAGGGTTCTGGCGCGCACGTGTCATCAGAGCTGAGCCCCTGACAAGGAACGCATGCGCACCCGCGCAATCATGCGGCTGCAGACGCTTCTGCAGCTTGGACTTGTGAACAACTGGGGAGAGGCTGCACACGTTTGAGTCCTTCTGATTGCAGTTGTTCGCCTGAGGAAAGGAATGAGGGCAAGACAAGAGTTGCGTCATCGGCGCGTGCTGGCTCGCGCAGCAGCTCAGGACCTGTCCTTAGGGTGGTGGCAGTGGCTAGTGGCTTCCGGAGTTTCAAGAGTGAGAGCGCCACAACGTCACAATACCATGGCCGATGTTGGGACCTATACAGAAGGAAGGATTTTGCTTTCCTGGTTTTGGGCCTTCACCAGCTGTGAGTGCATGTTGCTGCAGAGCACCCAGGATCGACGAGAACCGCCCATCATGGCATCATTTAACTTGCTAGTTTTCCAGTTGCCACTTAACGCTGCAACCAAAGCCCAAAGGCACGGGAAATCCAGAGATCCTGCCACGTGCACCGTGCCCGAGTCGTCTTGATGGACATGAGGACCGTTGAGGAACAGATTCTGTCTTATTAGTTGCAGAGTGTTGCAGAGGGTTTTCTGCGGTCAGATGCTGTTCAGGAAGCAAGTGCGCGCCGCGGGCGAGGTCCAGCGCAGTTGCCGTGTCCACCTGAGCCGGCTGCAGGCAGGGTTTTTTCATGTCTCTTCCTCCTCCGTCCCTGTTTGTCTTGCACGACAGTGGTAAATGAAATGATGATGACATGCGCCAGCTCGCTCCGCTTTTAGAGGTGCGTGATGTCTTGTTGGTGGCCAAGGAGCAGGCGCTCGGACTCGGATCAACTCGGATTACTCGGGCCCTGTTGTAAGAGTCGTACTGAGTCGCACTGCAAGGGGTATCCGAGAAGGAGAGGGCAGAGACTGTGGGCCAGGGTTCTGGCGCGCACGTGTCATCAGAGCTGAGCCCCTGACAAGGAACGCATGCGCACCCGCGCAATCATGCGGCTGCAGACGCTTCTGCAGCTTGGACTTGTGAACAACTGGGGAGAGGCTGCACACGTTTGAGTCCTTCTGATTGCAGTTGTTCGCCTGAGGAAAGGAATGAGGGCAAGACAAGAGTTGCGTCATCGGCGCGTGCTGGCTCGCGCAGCAGCTCAGGACCTGTCCTTAGGGTGGTGGCAGTGGCTAGTGGCTTCCGGAGTTTCAAGAGTGAGAGCGCCACAACGTCACAATACCATGGCCGATGTTGGGACCTATACAGAAGGAAGGATTTTGCTTTCCTGGTTTTGGGCCTTCACCAGCTGTGAGTGCATGTTGCTGCAGAGCACCCAGGATCGACGAGAACCGCCCATCATGGCATCATTTAACTTGCTAGTTTTCCAGTTGCCACTTAACGCTGCAACCAAAGCCCAAAGGCACGGGAAATCCAGAGATCCTGCCACGTGCACCGTGCCCGAGTCGTCTTGATGGACATGAGGACCGTTGAGGAACAGATTCTGTCTTATTAGTTGCAGAGTGTTGCAGAGGGTTTTCTGCGGTCAGATGCTGTTCAGGAAGCAAGTGCGCGCCGCGGGCGAGGTCCAGCGCAGTTGCCGTGTCCACCTGAGCCGGCTGCAGGCAGGGTTTTTTCATGTCTCTTCCTCCTCCGTCCCTGTTTGTCTTGCACGACAGTGGTAAATGAAATGATGATGACATGCGCCAGCTCGCTCCGCTTTTAGAGGTGCGTGATGTCTTGTTGGTGGCCAAGGAGCAGGCGCTCGGACTCGGATCAACTCGGATTACTCGGGCCCTGTTGTAAGAGTCGTACTGAGTCGCACTGCAAGGGGTATCCGAGAAGGAGAGGGCAGAGACTGTGGGCCAGGGTTCTGGCGCGCACGTGTCATCAGAGCTGAGCCCCTGACAAGGAACGCATGCGCACCCGCGCAATCATGCGGCTGCAGACGCTTCTGCAGCTTGGACTTGTGAACAACTGGGGAGAGGCTGCACACGTTTGAGTCCTTCTGATTGCAGTTGTTCGCCTGAGGAAAGGAATGAGGGCAAGACAAGAGTTGCGTCATCGGCGCGTGCTGGCTCGCGCAGCAGCTCAGGACCTGTCCTTAGGGTGGTGGCAGTGGCTAGTGGCTTCCGGAGTTTCAAGAGTGAGAGCGCCACAACGTCACAATACCATGGCCGATGTTGGGACCTATACAGAAGGAAGGATTTTGCTTTCCTGGTTTTGGGCCTTCACCAGCTGTGAGTGCATGTTGCTGCAGAGCACCCAGGATCGACGAGAACCGCCCATCATGGCATCATTTAACTTGCTAGTTTTCCAGTTGCCACTTAACGCTGCAACCAAAGCCCAAAGGCACGGGAAATCCAGAGATCCTGCCACGTGCACCGTGCCCGAGTCGTCTTGATGGACATGAGGACCGTTGAGGAACAGATTCTGTCTTATTAGTTGCAGAATGTTGCAGAGGGTTTTCTGCGGTCAGATGCTGTTCAGGAAGCAAGTGCGCGCCGCGGGCGAGGTCCAGCGCAGTTGCCGTGTCCACCTGAGCCGGCTGCAGGCAGGGTGTTTTCATGTCTCTTCCTCCTCCGTCCCTGTTTGTCTTGCACGACAGTGGTAAATGAAATGATGATGACATGCGCCAGCTCGCTCCGCTTTTAGAGGTGCGTGATGTCTTGTTGGTGGCCAAGGAGCAGGCGCTCGGACTCGGATCAACTCGGATCACTCGGGCCCTGTTGTAAGAGTCGTACTGAGTCGCACTGCAAGGGGTATCCGAGAAGGAGAGGGCAGAGACTGTGGGCCAGGGTTCTGGCGCGCACGTGTCATCAGAGCTGAGCCCCTGACAAGGAACGCATGCGCACCCGCGCAATCATGCGGCTGCAGACGCTTCTGCAGCTTGGACTTGTGAACAACTGGGGAGAGGCTGCACACGTTTGAGTCCTTCTGATTGCAGTTGTTCGCCTGAGGAAAGGAATGAGGGCAAGACAAGAGTTGCGTCATCGGCGCGTGCTGAATGATGAGGCAATGCCGTGCCACCGGTAGACAGGTAGTGAGAGCCGTAATCATGGTCTAAGCCACAACCCTTAGCTATCCGAATTGTCCTTCAGCGAGTAGATGCAGCGCTACAGAACTTTCACCAAGTGGGCTCCAAGAAGTGTGTGATTCCTTGTAAGCCAGAGTTCTGGACGCCAAGAGCAGGCTGAACACGAAGCAGCCCTTGCTGCAGCTAAGGCAGGGGCGATGGGCTCGGCAGTACACGGGAGCGCAGATACAAATTCGGTTCCACAGTGCACATATAGTGTAGCAGAGAGAGAGAGAGAGAGAGAGAGAGAGAGAGACATATTTTGGGGCCTCCTAAGCGTGGAGATGAAGAAGACGACATATAATTAATATATACATATATACATATATACATATATATATATATGTGTGAGGTTTAGGCTAATGCCTTGCTTACGACAGCTTATGAATCTACGTTATGGTGCAAAGGGCAGAATATTGCGATCATGACAATGAGTCATGAACATCTAAAGAAATAGAATAGTACAGCTGGGGGTCGGCATGAAAGTCTTGGCAAGCGAGAGTACTGTGAGCAGATTTCATGCCCCCCGGACCTCCCAAAAGCCTGCCAAGTCAAATTAACGAAGCACCCCCTGGAGTCAACAATGCACGAACGAAGAGTCCTGGGAACATTAGCTCCTCGCTGTAGGTTGTGTTAAAACCTTGCGTCTTAGAATTTTGAACAACCCGATGACGCCCCACAGATTCCACAGCAGTGGGGAAAATGAAGGGAATAATTGACACATGATACAGTTTGGAAAACATTGGCACCCGATGTTTTCCATGATTCTGCCACTTAAAATCATGGTAGAAAATTTCCACGTTTTCTATGAAGATTGAAACCGTGCCACAGACGCGGTCGGCTGCGCGAGGGGAACAGCCCGGGGCCGCAGCAGACCAGAGCGTGGGCATGCAGCGCTGTGATTTTTTCGAAGGCGTCGAGGCGCCGTCTGCACACATGGCGGGGACCAGTAGGCGCAGGCGCCGAAGCAGCGCGTGGAAGCTGGCAAGCTTGAGCGCTCGGCTGCAGAGGGCAGTGAGGTGAGAACCCCGGCAGCGAAGGGGGCCAGATTGGGACTCGAGGAATGGCGTCGAGGCGTCTCCTGAGGGAAGCAGCCGATGCATCCTCGACTGCGTGCGAGGCCAGGCGGGCTGGTCACCCGCAAGGTCAAGCGACCGGGGGGTGTACAGGGGCGAGTTGCTCCCATGGTGGGGCTTGGAAACCCGAGTCAGGCTGCGGATCACGACCCTCTTATCCTTGAAATAACTAGGTGGGGGGGGGGGGGGGTCATATGTTGAAATGTTTCGATGTGAAATGCTCCAACATCAGCAGCTGGATGTCCTAGCGGTAAACATTTCAGGATCAGGGTCGATTGTGGCTACAACGTCGAGATATTTTTACTCTTTGCTTTTCATGCTGGAAGGCACATACTGCATCATATCTACATATGTACACTGCAGTGTTCTTTCGAGATTAGATATATTGCAAAGTTTGCCGGCTTGTCTGTTTGGTGGCTACTGTAAGTCTACTGCCCGTGGCGCATGAGTGGGGTGACCTGATGCAGTCAACATTAAACCCTCGATCGTGAACTCACGAACAGCCGAAGACACACGTGTTGTGAGAAGACATGCTCAACCCCCCTTCGTCCCTT